AGAGTATCCCACCGAGATACTTGTGTGACCTTATCCAAAACAGACCAGATTATGAAAGCTCAAGAAGACAGAATGTATTTGGTAGATGTTCCTACCTCAGGAGAGTCGTCACAATCTCCAAACACTTCAGCAAAGTCTGATGGACTTTTCCGCAGAGTCTGGTCAGCTGGCAGTGTGTTGTCATTGTACGATGACACAAACTTAAAGTCACTGGTTCGAGACCCTGTTGTCAGGTAGGCGTCATAATTGTAAGCGCTGCGTAAAGTTCCTGTACCGTCAACATCTGCGTAATTGGGAGGGAGATAAGCGCTGGGGATGGCCACTGCTCCGTCAAACAACAGTCTGGGCTTTCTCCTGCGACAAAACCTCACACCGAGGATGATGATGATGAAGGTCAGAAAAAACGTCGACACACACACCAGCGCGATGATCAGATAAGAGGTCAGTTTGGAGTTCTTCTCATCATAAGAAATGTCCTTCAGTTCTGGCACCTCTGCCAAGTTATCAGAAATCAGTAAATACATGGAACAGGTGGCAGACAGAGAGGGCTGCCCGTTATCTTTCACTGACATTACAAGGTTCTGTTTCATGCTGTCAGTTTCAGAAATGTCCCGCTGGGTCCTGATCTCTCCACTGTGGACACCAATAGTGAAAAGTCCCGGATCAGTGGATTTCACTATTTGATACGACAGCCAGGCGTTCTGTCCAGAGTCCGCGTCCACCGCTATCACTTTGGACACCAGAGAGCCTCCGTGTGCAGCTTTGGGGACCAGCTCAGTCATGAACGACTTGCCCTCTGGCCCGGGGTACAGGATCTGAGGAGAGTTGTCATTCACATCTGATATGAACACACTCACGGTCACGTTGCTGCTGAGAGGAGGAGAACCGTTGTCTCTGGCCATCACCTGAACTTTGAAGCTCCGGAACTGTTCATAATCAAACGACCTCACAGCGTGGATCACCCCCGTGTCTCCGTTCACGGACACAAAGGAGGACACCGGGGCACCGTTCACCTCACCGCCTAACAGAGAATAAATCACTGTACCGTTCTGTCTCCAGTCGGGGTCTCGAGCACTAACGGAACATAAAGTGGAGCCAGCTTTGTTATTCTCACTCACATATGCGCTGTACGACTGCTCCTCAAACACAGGTGGGTTGTCGTTGATGTCTGCTACAGATAACTGAACAGTTTTAGACGACGACAGAGGTGGAGAGCCCTCGTCAGTGGCACTGATTGTAATGTTGTAATCAGACACTAGTTCACGGTCCAGTTGTCCTGTGCTCACCAGAGAATAATAGTTTTTAATTGAAGGAACCAACTTAAAAGGGACATTTTGCTGAATGGAGCAGCGGACCTGTCTGTTACTATCAGAGTCTCTGTCCTGCACGTTAATGATGCCCACCTCTGTACCAGGTGTTGTGTCCTCAGGTATGGGGTTAGTCAGTGATTTCAAACTGACTACAGGGGCGTTGTCATTCACATCAGTGATAGAAATGAAAACTTTTGCGTTAGATGAGAGCCCTAACCCATCTTTGGCTTTAACGCGTATTTCAAAGGATGAAGTGCTTTCATAGTCAACAGAACCAATTACCTTTATGTCACCGAGTTTATGGTCAATGCTAAAAAGCTTCTTTACATCTTCAGTTGCATGCACAAAATCATAACTAACATCGCCATAGAATCCCTCATCTGCATCAGTAGCACTCACTCTGACCACTACAGTATCTACAGGAGAGTTTTCAGGCAGACTGGCTTTATAAACGGCCTGACTGAACACTGGGGCGTTATCATTAGCATCCAGTACAGTGACGTGAATGACTACTGTACCTGATCTCTGAGGAGAGCCTCCATCTAAAGCCGAGAGGAGCAAATTGAGCTCTTTTTGTTTCTCTCGGTCAAGCTCTTTATCAAGAACAAGCTCGATGGTGTTTCCATTAGAAGCTAAAATGAAATTTTCATTCTTCTTAAGGCTGTACTGCTGAACCGAGTTTTGTCCTACATCCGCATCGTGAGCTCCCTGTATCACAAAACGAGCTCCTCTATCTGCTGACTCTTGAATTTCGATGTTTATAAATTCATCGTCAAACTGTGGAGAGTTATCGTTGATATCTTGAACATGTAGAGTAATACGATGGAGCTCGAGAGGATTCTCCAGCACGAGCTCCTGTTTCAAGATACATGACGCCTTTTCACCACAAAGCCCCTCTCGGTCGATCCTGTCTGCAACAATCAGTTCTCCGTTATTCAGGTTTATGTCACAGTACCGTGTATCAGTCCCGTCCGTGTCAATGCGGGCTCTTCTGTTAGAGAGAGCGCCCGTCTGCAGCCCCAGATCCTTAGCTAGATTTCCAATGACCGATCCTCGTTTCATCTCCTCTGGAAAAGAATAGCTCAGGTCTCCATATGCGCCACGATAGAAGACGAGCAGGAAATAGAAACTCCACAGCTTAAACATGACGACTATGTTTAAATCCACCACCAGACACGATTTTTAGAGGACAAAGATCCCGCAGCACAATTATCCACAACACCTTAGCGTCCAAGGGTGCCTTTGGACGCAATGGGCGTGCAAGAACGTCTGTCCACAAAAGAAAGAAGAATTGAACAGTTTCTACGGCTGGTGTAGAGCGACACCGTGAGTCCGATTCAAATGTAACACTGTTAAAAAACCAACAGATTCTGTGTTCACATTCCTCCACAAATACAAGTGAAACATAATTTCTGTGGTTTAAATAAAGTTGTGGATGACAGACAGACCAAATCAGGTAAACGGGCTAAACAAGTAGGGTCTTCAAATGTAGGTGAACATGTCTGAGGGCCAAATAAAAACTTTAAAAGTTTCTGAGAGAAATGAGAGTTGTCTTTGTCCCCATTGGTCTGACAGTTCGGGTCAAATTTTAACTGTTTTGACTTTTAACAGCAGTAAAAAATACCCTAAATGTCATTGTTTAAGCCTAAAACTTGATGATTTTTCCTGGAATGGCCCAAAATAAATGAAATTAATATTAAAATATTAATCTGTATTTTTGTATATGTGCTACACATTTTCCCCCTCTGAGGCTGTTGCGGGTCAAATTTGACCCATATCTATTTACATGGATTTTAGATCTACCAGTGTGGGACAAGTGGCAAGCAGTAACAGCACTGTTCAATATAAGGCTTGTTGTTCAAAAAAATATATTCAAATCATTATGAAACTATTAATACCTTGACAGAAACATACACATACACACACGCACAGAGACATGCAGTCACACAGACACACCTAGACAGAGGTCAAGATGACCTAACCAGTCACAAGAACTTTCTGTGACAGACAGCTGCTCTTTGAACTCTTTGAAGGGACAGGGGGAATCTAAAGTATAGAAATAGTAAACAAACAACACATGAGTAATCAAAGATGGAGTACAAAGGGATCAGAAGTCATCCAGAGGTCAGAGTGTGCTTTGACACAGACATAACATGTGCACCTGCTCCTGCAATATAATGTACAAAGTGACTAATTGGAATCTGTTTTGATTTGGAGGGAGGCGGTGGGAGTCATAACACTATGAGGGTAGAGAGAGCTGCCATTTCAGCTGCCATGCTGAAGACACTGAAATTTGAAAACTTACAGTTTGTTATCCTGGATGCAGGTCAAAGTATATGAGTACCAACACATTGACCAAGAATGATTAACTCCAACTTAGTGAAGTTTCAAACTGCAGCCTCAGTGTGATCCAATGACAAGAAAACTATCACTCATCAACACGATAATAGAGCAATTTAGAAAACTAAGTAAACCAATATCATTTGATGAAGGATCTTCAACTTTGATTGACAACAGAATACTCCACAACCAGAGAAACAGCAACATATACAACTAAAAAAAAAAGAGTAGCTGATAATAATCTGCATCATTAGAGCAATACAGAATCTCTCAACATTTTATTCTGGTAACACTTCTGGTATTATTTTTCATTATTTTGTGGTATTAATTAAGTGTGTATTGCCATTGTAAAAGGAGAGAAAAGCACTTGGTGAGTTTGTATGGATCTATTTTGACAGTTCAATTTGTCACTGAGCAGCTATAAAGCTTCAGTTTGGATGACTGAAATACAGTGCGAAAATTTATCAAAACTAAACCTACAATGAGAAATTGACCAATATGACCAAAAGATATATTTGAAACAAGAGGATCAAAAACAACAAGTAACTACAGCTGGTCAGTTAAAAACTAACTGTGAAAGTGGGTAATGCAGCTTTTGGTGTTTTTTTATTTATTATAATTAGAAGGACCCTAATAGTTAAAATGAATAAATGAACAACAAATTAAAAGCTGGCCGAAAAATAGGGAGCCTAGAAAGCAAAATGGAGGTTCAGCACCAAGGACAGAGACAACAAATAAACCCAAAGCCACAACAAATATAAAGCCAAGGACACTTATTGACATGAATAGCACTGCAGAGAAATACTGGAATAAAAGTCAAAAAGAGAGAACTGCAATTATCACTGGTTTGCTCAAAAATTACCAGTAAGATTCACCACAGACACAAAGGAGAGTCCAAAAAGAGAAAAATTAAAAGGTAAAACGGATATGTATAAAAGGACGGGGAAAAGTTCAGATCTCCAATATCCTCAGGGGAAAAAAGGTTAAAAACAAGTGCAAAAGATAATTCGTGTTTATTTGAAGACAGCCTAAGCTTCATGCTTAGTAAACCCTTACAAAAGCTAAGCAAGCAAAAATAAGGGGTAGTAGATAATCACAAATATCAAAGGTTTCATCTAAAATGGAGTCATGTATTTCTACATGACAATCAGTGTTTGCCGCACAAACAAAGGGTTAGGTTTAATTGGTAAACCAAGCAAAACACAGTTCAGCAAATGGAACTACACACATTCACATAACTGGACTCATTCATATGTAAGTCTCTAAAGTTAAGGACCAAAATCTCATGTTTTATCAGCTCACAAAATACAGCGGAGATGGAGTGCGGAAAGTAATATCTCAGAGACACTTTCAGGCATGAAAAGCACATGTTCCTACCTCAGGAGAGTCATCGCAATCTCCAAACACTTCTGCAAAGTCTGATGGACTTTTCCTCAGAGTCTGGTCAGCTGGCAGTGTGTTGTCATTGTACGATGACACAAACTTAAAGTCACTGGTTCGAGACCCTGTTGTCAGGTAGGCGTCATAATTGTAAGCGCTGCGTAAAGTTCCTGTGCCGTCAACATCTGCGTAATTAGGAGGGAGATAGGCGCTGGGGATGGCCACTGCTCCGTCAAACAACAGTCTGGGCTTTCTCCTGCGACAAAACCTCACACCAAGGATGATGATGATGAAGGTCAGAAAAAACGTCGACACACACACCAGCGCGATGATCAGATAAGAGGTCAGTTTGGAGTTCTTCTCATCATAAGAAATGTCCTTTAGTTCTGGCACCTCAGCCAAGTTATCAGAAATCAGTAAATACATGGAACAGGTGGCAGACAGAGAGGGCTGCCCGTTATCTTTCACTGACACTAAAAGGTTCTGTTTCATGCTGTCAGATTCGGAAATGTCCCGCTGGGTCCTGATCTCTCCACTGTGGACACCAATAGTGAAAAGTCCCGGATCAGTGGATTTCACTATTTGATACGACAGCCAGGCGTTCTGTCCAGAGTCCGCGTCCACCGCTATCACTTTGGACACCAGAGAGCCTCCGTGTGCAGCTTTGGGGACCAGCTCGGTCATGAACGACTTGCCCTCTGGCCCGGGGTACAGGATCTAAGGAGAGTTGTCATTCACATCTGATATGAACACACTCACGGTCACGTTGCTGCTGAGAGGAGGAGAACCGTTGTCTCTGGCCATCACCTGAACTTTGAAGCTCCGGAACTGTTCATAATCAAACGACCTCACAGCGTGGATCACCCCCGTGTCTCCGTTCACCGACACATAGGAGGACACCGGGGCACCGTTCACCTCACCGCCTAACAGAGAATAAATCACTGTACCGTTCTGTCTCCAGTCGGGGTCTCGAGCACTAACGGAACATAAAGTGGAGCCAGCTTTGTTATTCTCACTCACATATGCGCTGTACGACTGCTCCTCAAACACAGGTGGGTTGTCGTTGATGTCTGCTACAGATAACTGAACAGTTTTAGACGACGACAGAGGTGGAGAGCCCTCGTCAGTGGCACTGATTGTAATGTTGTAATCAGACACTAGTTCACGGTCCAGTTGTCCTGTGCTCACCAGAGAATAATAGTTTTTAATAGAAGGAACCAACTTAAAGGGGACATTTTGCTGAATGGAGCAGCGGACCTGTCTGTTACTATCAGAGTCTCTGTCCTGCACGTTAATGATGCCCACCTCTGTACCAGGTGTTGTGTCCTCAGGTATGGGGTTCATCAGTGATTTTAAACTGACTACAGGGGCGTTGTCATTCACATCAGTGATCGAAATTATTACTTTAGCATAAGATGAGAGCCCTAACCCATCTTTAGCTTTAACGCGTATTTCAAAGGATGATGTGGTTTCATAGTCAACAGAACCAATCACCTTTATCTCACCGAGTTTACGGTCAATGGTAAATAGTTTTCTTAAATCTTCAGTCGCATGTCCAAAGTCATATGTAACATCTCCATTGACTCCCTCGTCTGCATCAGTAGCACTCACTGTGACCACTACAGTATCTACAGGAGAGTTTTCAGGCAGACTGGCTTTATAAACGGCCTGACTGAACACTGGGGCGTTATCATTAGCATCCAGTACAGTGACGTGAATGACTACTGTACCTGATCTCTGAGGAGAGCCTCCATCTAAAGCCGAGAGGAGCAAATTGAGCTCTTTTTGTTTCTCTCGGTCAAGCTCTTTATCGAGAACAAGCTCGATGGTGTTTCCATTTGAAGCTAAAATGAAATTTTCATTCTTCTTAAGGCTGTACTGCTGAACCGAGTTTTGTCCTACATCCGCATCGTGAGCCTCCTCTATCACAAAACGAGCTCCTCGGTCCGCTGACTCGTGAATTTCGATGTTAATTAACTCATCGTCAAACTGTGGAGTGTTATCGTTAATATCTTGAATATGTAGAGTAATACGATGGAGCTCGAGAGGATTCTCCAGCACGAGCTCCTGTTTTAAGATACATGACGCCTTTTCACTACAAAGCCCCTCTCGGTCGATCCTGTCTGCAACAATCAGTTCTCCGTTATTCAGGTTTATGTCACAGTACCGTGTATCAGTCCCGTCCGTGTCAATGCGGGCTCTTCTGTTAGAGAGAGCGCCCGTCTGCAGCCCCAGATCCTTAGCTAGATTTCCAATGACCGATCCTCGTTTCATCTCCTCTGGAAAAGAATAGCTCAGGTCTCCATATGCGCCACGATAAAAGACGAGGAGGAAACAGAAGCTCCACAGCTTAAACATGACGACTATGTGTATATCCACCATCAGACACGATTTTTAGACGACAAAGATCCCACAGCACAATTATCCACAACACCTTAGCGTACAAGGGTGCCTTTGGACGCAATGGGCGTGCAAGAACGACTGTCCACAAAAGAAAGAATTGACCAGTTTCTACGGCTGGTGTAGAGCGACACCGTGAGTCCGATTTTAATGTAACACTGTTAAAAAACCAACAAAGTCAGCGTTCACATTCCTCCACAAATACAAGCGAAACATTATTTCAGCAAGAAAAAAGCAACGGATCACAGACAGACCAAAATCAGGTAACCAAGTTCGATAAGTATGCTACATATCTGTAGTTAGCTAAATGAATCCAGACACCAAGGTCAGATGGCAGTTTCACTTAAATCTAGATGTATTAATGGTTACCATATATGTGTACAACTTTCAATAATAGTGGTGATCAGATGATGTAATCTGATAATGCATTAGAAAGAGATTTTGATTTGCTCATTCCTCCTGTTATCAAAGAAATTTATCTGATACAAGCACACACTTTTTCAGTCTTATTTTCCTGTATTCTGGTTTATAAAACACAAATCACTGCCGAGCTATAGTCCAATACTTCTACTGTTCTAATAATTTGTCTGGCAGGGTTTATACTGTTGGCACAGAAACATTTAGATTTATGACTTTAAATGCTTTCTTCCTTCATGTGAAGATGTCATCAGAACATACTGTAGCACAAATATGATTGCAAGATAGAAAACATTAGATCTGAGCATTTTACAATTAATATCATCACTTTCGCCATCATATCATAAGATTGTGGGAATCTTGGTATCGTATACTGTTCAAATCCTGTACCCTCACAGTATTTTCAAGGTCAAAATTGACCCAGCCCAAGAATTGCCCATATAGCAAGTATTTTCACCAAAGTTCTAACCCCAAACTTATTCATAATGTTTAAATGACAATATGCTACTTCAAAAAATGATTGATAAGTCCTTCCTAAATGTTTTAAAGAGCAGGGAAAGTGTATTTTTTCTGTTTTAACACCACTAATTTTTGGTGAAATATATATTTTGGAGAAGAATATCTATCGATTTTAATGTATTTTGTTGAACAACAAACTTCATATTGAACACTGTCCTCACTGCTAGTCTCTGCATTCAAAGCAAAGGTAGGATACTTTACAGTGGCTGAAATGGCAGCTCTCTCTACCCTCATAGTGTTATGACTCCCACCGCCTCCCTCCCAATCAAAACAGATTCTAATTTGTTACTTTGTACATTATATTGCAGGAGCAGGTGCACATGTTATGACTGTGTCAAGGCACACTCCGACCTCTGGATGACTTCTGATCCCTTTGTACTCTATCTTTGATCACTCTTGTGTTGTTTGTTTACTTTTTCTATACTTTAGATTCCCCCTGCCCCTTCAAAGAGTTCAAAGAGCAGCTGTCTGTCACAGAAGGTTCTTGTGACTGGTTAGGTCATCTTGACCGCTGCCTAGGTGTGTCTGTGTGACTGCATGTCTCTGTGCGTGTGTGTGTGTTTCTGTCAAGGTTTTAATAGTTTCATAATGATTTAAATATATTTTTGAACAAAGCTTAATTGAACACTGTTGTTACTGCTTGTCACTTGTCCCGCACTGGTAGATCTAAAATCCATCTAAATAGATACGGGTCAAATTTGACCCGAAACAGCCTCAGAGGGGAAAAATGTGTAGCACATAAACAAAAATACACATGAATATTTTTAAATTAATTTTATGTATTTTGGGCCATTCCAGGAAAAGTCATCAAGTTTCAGGCTAAAAGAATGACGTTTAGGGTATTTTTACTGCTGTTAAAAGTCAAAACAGGTCAAATTTGACCCAAACAGTATGTGAGGGTTACACTCTTGTCATCATGTGGGATCAAGAAAGTATCTGCATAACAAAGAAGTGAGATGTCTCTGTTTTACCACAAGCTGTTGTCACAAGTCTATCAAACTTGATTTGATACTTAAATATAGGTGAACATGAATGAAGGTCTAATAAAATGAGTTTCTGGGTGAAATGAGAGCTGTCTTTGTCCCTAATTGGTCGTTGTTAAAAAGTCAGTTCAAAGTTGTATCATATATTTCATAATTTCCCATAGGACTGGAGTCATTTTAACTATTTGTAAGGATCATTTGTTAAATTTGTCGAAGATGAAAAAAATATATGATCACTGCATTTTACCAAAAAAAAAAAAAAAGAAAAAAAAATGGCCAAAATGAAGAAGAGACTTCAAGCAAAATTTAAGAGACCAGAAAAGTAGCTTGAAAGACATATTCAATTCCGACAACTACTGAACTACTGCATATAAATGTGCAACGTCAAAGTCGACAAACTCACATTTCAGAGATTCAAAACACAGATACAGTACTGTGTACCATGCTGCAATAGATTCCATTAAGAACCAACCTGGACAGACAAAACAGATTAAGACCTAGAAGCTCACTTGCACACAGAGGTTGATTATAATTCAAAAGAGAGGCCTAGTTTGATCTTTTCTTTAAACTTACTCCTAAAACACATACGCGTAAGAAGTGGTCAGGTCATATAATAAGCACAGAACAGCTCAAACAAACATGGCTACAGTGGCAAAATTCATTCCAAAAATATTTCTAATAATTATGGTTTGAAAAAACTTAAGGCCATGCCATATACCAGTGGGATATGAGCGGTTACTTAAAGTCTATATAGATTTTGCTATTCAACTCCAGACTTGGATAAAACACTCTACTCTGCTAAGTACCAGAAGAAGTTATGTCTATAGATCATGTACAAGGACCAGTTTTTGTCAGTGAAGTTATATCAAGGTCAATCATTGTAAATGAGTAAATGAGGCTGAAACATCTTCTACAGTTACTGTGTAATTGCATGACTGGCATTATTCATCAAAGAAGATCACTAAGTGGTAGCTGGAAAAACGTATGAAACTTCAAGATACTGTACACCGTGTGATGCTAACATGATAACTGATGCAGATTTGATGTTATATTTTCATGAAATAATTTCTCTCTGCTATATTGTAAATCATTTTAGGGAAAAAAGGGAACAAACAACCAGCAGATTCAGGTCAAAGCAATTTAGAACTGACACACCTCAACTCAGCAAAGTTTCAAACTGAAGCCTCAATGTGAACCAATAATAAGAAGAATGAAATGAAAAGATAGCAATCTAAAACCTAATTGACCAGTATCACTTGATAAGGGATTTTCAATTTTGATTGACAACAGAATACTCCATAGAGACAAGCATCATATCAGCAACCCTATTTTTCTTCAGTTGTATGACAATCTGCATCAATACAGCAGCAATACAATGGAACACCTCTGAACACTTTATTCTAGTAGTGAGTCTGGTATTATATCTTGTGTGTAATAGCATTGCAAAGGGAGAGGAAAAAGCAGTCAGTAAGTTTATCTGGATCTATGTTGACAGTTCAGTTTATCACTGCACAACTGTAAAACTTCAGTTTGGATAACTGGAACTCAATGGGATAGTTATCAAAACAAGAATGCAAAATTAACACAACAAAATGAAATGATGGCTAAAAAAGGGGGCACCAAGAAAGCAAAATGGAGGTTCAGCACCAAGGACAGAGACAACAAAAATAAATTCATAACCACTCAAAACAAGACAAAACAAGACAACCACCACTGCAGGGAAATATTGTCAAAAAGGACAAAAAGAGAAAACTGACCCTATCATTGGTTTGCTCTAAAATACCAGTAAGACACAAAGCAGAGTCCAAAAAGAGATCAATTGTTAGGTAAAATAGATGCTATAAGAAAGAGGGAGTTACACATTCAGGCACTATTTCAAGCAAAAGGTTTAAAAACAAGTAAGGAAGATTATCTGAGATCCTTGCACACAGCCCAAAGCCTCATGCTTGGTAAATCCTTTCAAAAGCAAAGCAACCAAAAAGCGAAGTAGATAAACACAAATCTCCCAGAATTCATCTAAACTGGTATAACGTGAAAAAAAACATTGAAAAACAATGTCTGCAGCAAAACAACATGGCTTTTGATTGATAAACACACCAAAACTCAGATGAGCAATTGGAACTACAAATACTCACATGACTGGAGCCTTTTGTATATCAGTCTCAAAAGTAAAGTACCACAAGCAAATATTTCACCAGCTCAGACACAAAATATTTGGTTTTATAACTAGAGATAAAGTACTTGAAGTTACTTAAACTCAGCAACGCTTTCCAAGGGTATCCTCACAAGAGGATTGTATCATCTATTCCAAAACAGACCAGATTATGAAAGCTCAAGAAGAGAGAATGTATGTAGTCGATGCTCCTACCTCAGGATAGTCGTCACAGTCTCCAAACACTTCTGCAAAGTCTGATGGACTTTTCCTCAGAGTCTGGTCAGCTGGCAGTGTGTTGTCATTGTACGATGACACAAACTTAAAGTCACTGGTTCGAGACCCTGTTGTCAGGTAGGCGTCATAATTGTAAGCGCTGCGTAAAGTTCCTGTGCCGTCAACATCTGCGTAATTAGGAGGGAGATACGCGCTTGGGATGGCCACTGCTCCGTCAAACAACAGTCTGGGCTTTCTCCTGCGACAAAACCTCACACCAAGGATGATGATGATGAAGGTCAGAAAAAACGTTGACACACACACCAGCGCGATGATCAGATAAGAGGTCAGTTTGGAGTTCTTCTCATCATAAGAAATGTCCTTCAGTTCTGGCACCTCAGCCAAATTATCAGAAATCAGTAAATACATGGAACAGGTGGCAGACAGAGAGGGCTGCCCGTTATCTTTCACTGACACTACAAGGTTCTGTTTCATGCTGTCAGATTCAGAAATGTCCCGCTGGGTCCTGATCTCTCCACTGTGGACACCAATAGTGAAAAGTCCCGGATCAGTGGATTTCACTATTTGATACGACAGCCAGGCGTTCTGTCCAGAGTCCGCGTCCACCGCTATCACTTTGGACACCAGAGAGCCTCCGTGTGCAGCTTTGGGGACCAGCTCGGTCATGAACGACTTGCCCTCTGGTCCGGGGTACAGGATCTGAGGAGAGTTGTCATTCACATCTGATATGAACACACTCACTGTCACGTTGCTGCTGAGAGGAGGAGAACCGTTGTCTCTGGCCATCACCTGAACTTTGAAGCTCCGGAACTGTTCATAATCAAACGACCTCACAGCGTGGATCACCCCCGTGTCTCCGTTCACCGACACATAGGAGGACACCGGGGCACCGTTCACCTCACCGCCTAACAGAGAATAAATCACTGTACCGTTCTGTCTCCAGTCGGGGTCTCGAGCACTCACGGAACATAAAGTGGAGCCAGCTTTGTTATTCTCACTCACATATGCGCTGTACGACTGCTCCTCAAACACAGGTGGGTTGTCGTTGATGTCTGCTACAGATAACTGAACAGTTTTAGACGACGACAGAGGTGGAGAGCCCTCGTCAGTGGCACTGATTGTAATGTTGTAATCAGACACTAGTTCACGGTCCAGTTGTCCTGTGCTCACCAGAGAATAATAGTTTTTAATAGAAGGAACCAACTTAAAAGGGACATTTTGCTGAATGGAGCAGCGGACCTGTCTGTTACTATCAGAGTCTCTGTCCTGCACGTTAATGATGCCCACCTCTGTACCAGGTGTTGTGTCCTCAGGTATGGGGTTCATCAGTGACTTCACACTGACTACAGGTGCGTTGTCATTCATATCAGTGATAGAAATTATAACCTTAGTATAAGATGAGAGCCCTAACCCATCTTTAGCTTGGATGCGTATTTCAAACGATGAGGTGCTTTCATAGTCAACTGCACCGATTACTCTTATCTCACCGAGTTTACGGTCAATACTAAAAAGCTTCTTCACATCTTCACTTACATGTCCAAACTCATATGAAACATCTCCATTGACTCCCTCATCTGCATCAGTAGCACTCACTCTGACCACTACAGTATCTACAGGAGAGTTTTCAGGCAGACTGGCTTTATAAACAGCCTGACTGAACACTGGGGCGTTATCATTAGCATCCAGTACAGTGACGTGAATGACTACTGTACCTGATCTCTGAGGAGAGCCTCCATCTAAAGCCGAGAGGAGCAAATTGAGCTCTTTTTGTTTCTCTCGATCAAGCTCTTTATCAAGAACAAGCTCGATGGTGTTTCCATTAGAAGCTAAAATGAAATTGTCATTCTTCATAAGGCTGTACTGCTGAACCGAGTTTTGTCCTACATCCGCATCGTGAGCCTCCTCTATCACAAAACGAGCTCCTCTATCTGCTGACTCTCGAATTTCAATATTGAAGGAATCATCTTTGAATTGTGGAGAGTTATCATTGATATCTTGAATATGTAGAGTAATACGGTGGAGCTCGAGAGGATTCTCCAGCACGAGCTCCTGTTTTAAGATACATGACGCCTTTTCACCACAAAGCCCCTCTCGGTCGATCCTGTCTGCAACAATCAGTTCTCCGTTATTCAGGTTTATGTCACAGTACCGTGTATCAGTCCCTTCCGTGTCAATTCGGGCTCTTCTGTTAGAGAGAGCGCCCGTCTGCAGCCCCAGATCCTTAGCTAGATTTCCAATGACCGATCCTCGTTTCATCTCCTCTTGAAAAGAATAGCTCAGGTCTCCATATGCGCCACGACAGAAGACGAGGAGGAAACAGAAGCTCCATAGCTTAAACATGACGACTATGTTTAAGTCCATCATCAGACACGATTTTTACACGACAAAGATCCCACAGCACAATTGTCCACCACACTCTAGCGTCCAAGGGTGCCTTTGGACGCAATGGGCGTGCAAGAACGTCCGTCCACAAAAGAAAGAAGAATTGACCAGTTTCTACGGCTGGTGTAGAGCGACACCGTGAGTCCGATCTAAATGTAACACTGTTAAAAAACCAGCAGAGTCAGTGTTCAAATTCCTCCACAAATACAAGTGAAACATCATTTCTGGGGTTTAAATATTAGCTATGGACGACAGACAGACCAAATCAGGTAAACAGGCCAAACAAGTAGGGTCTTTAAATGTAGTTGAACATATCTGAGGGTCTAATAAAAATTTTAAAAGTTTCTGAGAGAAATGACAGCTGTCTTTGTCCCCATTGGTCTGTTATTAAAAAGTCAGCTAAAGTTTGTTTTTATATTTTTTTAAATTCCACATAGGACTGGAGGCCAAAATGCAGAGGACACTTCATGCAAAACTCAAAACTCCAGAAAAGAAGCTCTGAAGACACATTCAATTACCATGACTATTTAACTACAAAGTTACAGCATATAAATGTGCAATCCACAAATTCAACAAAATAACCTTCCAGAGAGTCAAAACACAGATACAGCACTTTGTATTGTAATGCAATAGATTTCCCTGTAGAACCAACTGGGACAAACTAAAAAGAATAACAACCTTAACAGTAAAATTAGAAGCTTTTTGCACACAAAAGTTGATTGGAATTTAAAACACAAGCCCCATTTGACCTTCTCTTTAAACTTAATTGTATCATTAGAAGTGGTCAAGTCAGATAATAAACACAGAAAAGCTCAAAAAACAGGCTACAACAGCAAAATTCATTCAAAAGATTCTTCTTTTTATTATAGTTTTGAAAAAATATATATCAGGCCATGCTGTATACCTGTGGGGTATGAGCAGTTACTTCAAGTCTAAGTTTTGCTATCCAACTCCAGACTTGGATAAAACACTCTACTCTGCTAAGTACCAGAGGAAGTTATGTCTATGGATCATGGACAAAGATCAGTTTCTGTCGGTGAAGTTATGTCAAGGTCAATCATCATCATTTATATCTATATGTTAGTCATTGCATGAGGGGCATTAGTCATCATAAAACATCTGAATGTGGTAGCTGACAAAACTTCTGAAACTCAACAATACTGTACACTTTGTGATGCTAACATGATAACTAATGCAAATTTGATTTTATATTTTCTCTAGAGTAGTCCTTTCCGCCTTATTGTAAATCACCGTGGGGAAAAAAAACAAAAGGCATAAACAATCTACAGCTGAAGAAACTGGCTTCAAAAAAAATCACATATTGACATCCTGACTTCTTTGATGCACAAGAACCAATACACCATTCAAGAATGATTAACATCAACTCAACAAAGTTTCAAACTGAAGCCTCAGTGGGATCCAATAACAAGAAAAATACAACTCATTACAATGATATAGAGAGAAGTTTAAAACCCTAGTAAACCAACATCATTTGATGAGTGGTCATCAATATGGATTGAAAACAAATTACTCCACAACCAGAGAAACAGCAACATATCAACTACTCTTTTGTCTTCGATTGTAATAACATGCATCATTACTACAGCAATAAAGAATCTCTCAATATTTTATTCAAGTCACACCTCTGGTATTATTTTCTTATTATTTTGTGGTATTAATGAAGTGTGTATTTACACTGCAAAGGAAAAGAAAAGCACTTGGTGAGTTTGTCTGGATCTATTTTGACAGTTAAGTTTGTCACTGAGCAGCTATACAGCTTCAGTTTGGATGACCAAACAGCACCAAGGACAGAGACAACAAATAAACCCAAAGCCACAACAAAAATAAAGCTAAAGCCACTTATCGACATAAATAGCACTGCAAAGAAATATTGAAATAAAAGTCAAAAAGAGAAAACTGCAACTATCATTGGTTTGCTCAAAAATTACCAGGAAGATTCACCATAGACACAGAGCAGATTCCCAAAACAGAAAAACTAAAAGATAAAATGGATATGTTTAAAGGGATGGGGAAACATTCAGATATCTAATATCCTCATGAAAAAGGGGGAAACGAGTATAAAAAAGGATTTATGGTTATTTGAATATAGCCTACAGCCTTATGTTTGGTAAACCCTTAAAGAAGCTAAGCAAACAGAAATAGGGGGAAGTAAATGAACATAAATCTCTCAGCTTCATCTAAATTGGATTGATGTATTTCTAAATGATAGTCGATGTTTGGAGCACAACAAAGCATAAGGTTTAATTGGTAAATCCAGCAAAACACAGTTCAGTGAGTGGAACTACATGCTTTGACATAACCAGACTCATTCATATGTAAGTCTCTACAGAAAAAGACCAAAATCACAAACTTTATCAGCTCACAAAACACAGTGGACATGAAATACGGAAAGTTGAATCTCAAAAACACTTTCAGGCATAAAAAGCACATGTTCCTACCTCAGGAGAGTCGTCACAGTCTCCAAACACTTCTGCAAAATCTGATGGACTTTTCCTCAGAGTCTGGTCAGCTGGCAGTGTGTTGTCATTGTACGATGACACAAACTTAAAGTCACTGGTTCGAGACCCTGTTGTCAGGTAGGCGTCATAATTGTAAGCGCTGCGTAAAGTTCCTGTACCGTCAACATCTGCGTAATTAGGAGGGAGATACGCGCTGGGGATGGCCACTGCTCCGTCAAACAACAGTCTGGGCTTTCTCCTGCGACAAAACCTCACACCGAGGATGATGATGATGAAGGTCAGAAAAAACGTTGACACACACACCAGCGCGATGATCAGATAAGAGGTCAGTTTGGAGTTCTTCTCATCATAAGAAATGTCCTTCAGTTCAGGCACCTCAGCCAAGTTATCAGAAATCAGTAAATACATGGAACAGGTGGCAGACAGAGAGGGCTGCCCGTTATCTTTCACTGACACTACAAGGTTTTGTTTCATGCTGTCAGATTCAAGAATGTCCCGCTGGGTCCTGATCTCTCCACTGTGGACACCAATAGTGAAAAGTCCCGGATCAGTGGATTTCACTATTTGATACGACAGCCAGGCGTTCTGTCCAGAGTCCGCGTCCACCGCTATCACTTTGGACACCAGAGAGCCTCCGTGAGCAGCTTTGGGGACCAGCTCGGTCATGAACGACTTGCCCTCTGGCCCGGGGTACAGGATCTGAGGAGAGTTGTCATTCACATCTGATATGAACACACTCACGGTCACGTTGCTGCTGAGAGGAGGAGAACCGTTGTCTCTGGCCATCACCTGAACTTTGAAGCTCCGGAACTGTTCATAATCAAACGACCTCACAGCGTGGATCACCCCCGTGTCTCCATTCACCGACACATAGGAGGACACCGGGGCACCGTTCACCTCACCGCCTAACAGAGAATAAATCACTGTACCGTTCTGTCTCCAGTCGGGGTCTCGAGCACTAACGGAACATAAAGTGGAGCCAGCTTTATTATTCTCACTCACATATGCGCTGTACGACTGCTCCTCAAACACAGGTGGGTTGTCGTTGATGTCTGCTACAGATAACTGAACAGTTTTAGACGACGACAGAGGTGGAGAGCCCTCGTCAGTGGCACTGATTGTGATGTTGTAATCAGACACTAGTTCACGGTCCAGTTGTCCTGTGCTCACCAGAGAATAATAGTTTTTAATTGAAGGAACCAACTTAAAAGGGACATTTTGCTGAATGGAGCAGCGGACCTGTCTGTTACTATCAGAGTCTCTGTCCTGCACGTTAATGATGCCCACCTCTGTACCAGGTGTTGTGTCCTCAGGTATGGGATTCATCAGTGATTTCAAACTGACTACAGGGGCGTTGTCATTCACATCAGTGATAGAAATTATTACTTTAGCATAAGATGAGAGCCCTAACCCATCTTTGGCTTTAATGCGTATTTCAAAGGATGGAGTGCTTTCATAGTCAACAGCACCGATTACCTGTATATCACCGAGTTTACGGTCAATGTTGAAAATCTTCTTCACGTCTTCACTTACATGTCCAAATTCATATGTAACATCTCCATTGACTCCCTCATCTGCATCAGTAGCACTCACTGTGACCACTACAGTGTCTACAGGAGAGTTTTCAGGCAGACTGGCTTTATAAACGGCCTGACTGAACACTGGGGCGTTATCATTAGCATCCAGTACAGTGACGTGAATGACTACTGTACCTGATCTCTGAGGAGAGCCTCCATCTAAAGCCGAGAGGAGCAAATTGAGCTCTTTTTGTTTCTCTCGGTCAAGCTCTTTATCAAGAACAAGCTCGATGGTGTTTCCATTAGAAGCTAAAATGAAATTTTCATTCTTCTTAAGGCTGTACTGCTGAACCGAGTTCTGTCCTACATCCGCATCGTGAGCCTCCTCTATCACAAAACGAGCTCCTCTGACTGCTGACTCGTGAATTTCCAATTCGATCGATTCTTCCTTAAACTGTGGAGTGTTATCATTGATATCTTGAATATGTAGAGTAATACGGTGGACCTCGAGAGGATTCTCCAGCACGAGCTCCTGTTTTAAGATACATGACGCCTTTTCACCACAAAGCCCCTCTCGGTCGATCCTGTCTGCAACAATCAGTTCTCCGTTATTCAGGTTTATGTCACAGTACCGTGTATCAGTCCCGTCCGTGTCAATGCGGGCTCTTCTGTTAGAGAGAGCACCCGTCTGCAGCCCCAGATCCTTAGCTATATTCCCAATGACCGATCCTCGTTTCATCTCCTCTGGAAAAGAATAGCTCAGGTCTCCATATGCGCCACGATAGAAGACGAGGAGGAAACAGAAGCTCCACAGCTTAAACATGACGACTATGTTTATATCCACAATCAGACACGATTTTTACACGACAAAGATCCCACAGCACAATTGTCCACAACACTCTAGCGTCCAAGGGTGTCTTTGGACGCAATGGGCGTGCAAGAACGACTGTCCACAAAAGAAAGAAAATTAAACCCTATCTACGGCTGGTGTAGAGCGACACCGTGAGTCCGATTCAAATGTAACACTGTTGAAAAAACAGCAGAGTCAGCGTTCACATTCCTCCACAAATACAAGTGAAACATCATGTCTGAGGTTTAAAAAAATACCTATGGATGACAGACAGACGGAATCAGGTAAACGGGCTAAACAAGTAGGTCTTTAAATGTAGGTGAACATGTCTGACGGCCGAATAAAATTATAATAAAAAAAAAACTTTCTGAGAGAAATGAAAGCTGTCTTTCTCCCCATTGGTCTGTTATTAAAAAGTTACTTTAAGTTTTTATTATTCTTAATTTCACATAGGACAGAGTCATTTTGACTTTTTGTAAGGATCATTTGTTAAATGTCACTTAATAACAATTCTATTACCACTACATTTGATAAAATTAACCAAAATAAGGGGAGCACTTTACACAAATTTAAAACTCTAGAAAAGTTGCTCTTAAGATACATTCAATTACCATGACCATTTTACTACAAAGTTACTGCATATAAATGTGCAATCCACAAATTCAACAAACTAACCTTTCAGAGAGTCATCACACAGATATAGTACTGTATATTGTCCTGCAACAGATTCCCCTGAAGAACCAACTTGGAAAGACTAAAGGGAACAACAGCCTGAACAGTCAAACTATATGCTCACTTGCACACAACAGTTGATTGAAATTCAAAACACAAGCCCCATTTGATCTTCTCTTTAAATGTACTCCTATCTTAAGTAGCAGCAAAGTCAGATAATATGACCAGCAAAGCTCAACAAACGTGGCTTCAACTTCAAAATTCATCCCAAAGGGTGAAGTTACATCAAGGTCAATCCTCATAATATTCATATGTCAGTAATTGCATAAAGGCCATCAGTCATCATAAAACATCTGAGTGTGGTAGCTGACAAAACTTGCTTAACTCAAAGATATTGTACACTTTGTGATGCTAACATGATAACTAATGCAGATTTGATTTTAGATTTTCATCAAAGCAGTCCTTCCTGCCTTATTGTAAATCACAGTGGGGAAAAAAGGGTATAAACAACCAGCAGCTGAAAAAACTGGCTTCAAAAAAAAAAAAAAAAAATCACATATTGACATCCTTGAGGCACAAGGTACAATACACCAATCAAAAATGGTTAACATCAACTCAACAAAGTTTCAAACTGGCGCCTCAATGTGATCCAATAACAAGAAATATATAACTCATTAAAATGATAAAAGAGAGCAATTTAAAAATTTAGTAAACCAATATCATTGGATGAGTGATCTTCAATTTTGATTGACAACAGAATACTCCACAACCAGAGAAAGAGCAACATATCAACTACTCCTTTGTCTTCGATTGTAATAATCTGCATCATTACTACAGCAATACAGAATCTCTCAATATTTGATTCAAGTCACACCTCTGGTATTATTTCCTCATTATTTTGTGGTATTAATGAAGTGTGTATTTGCATTGCATAGGGAAAGAAAAGCACTTGGTGAGTTTGTCTGGATCTGGATAGTGGGTAATGCAGTTTTTCTATTTTCTATTTTTTTATTCAATATATTTAGAATGACTATAATAGTTGTAATGAATAAATGAGCAACAAATGAAAAGCTGGCAAAAAAATTGGGGCCTAGAAAGTAAAATTGAGGTTCAGCACCAAGGACAGAGACAACAAATAAACCCAAAGCCACAACAAATATAAAGCTAAAGCCACTTATTGACATATATAGCACTGCAGAGAAATGTTGAAATAAAAGTAGAAAAGAGAAAAAACTGCAATTATCATTGGTTTTCTCAAAAATTACCAGTAAGATTCACCATAGACACAAAGCAGACTCCAAAAATATAAAAATTAAAAGATAAAACTGATATGTTTAAAAGGACGGGGAAACATTCAGATATCTATTATCCTCAGGAAAAAGGTGAAAACGGGTATAAAAAAGGATTTATGGTTATTTGAATATAGCCTACAGCCTTATGTTTGGTAAACCCTTACAGCAGCTAAGCAAACAAAAATAGGGGGAAGTAGATGAACACAAATGTCTCAGGTTTCATCTGAATTGGAATGATGTATTTCTACATGACAGTCAATGTTTGGAGGACAACAAAGGGTTAGGTTCAATTGGTAAATCCAGCAAAACACAGTTCAGCAAGTGGAACTAGACACTTTGACATAACTGGTCTCAGTCATATGTAAGTCTGTACAGAAAAGGACCAAAATCACATACTTCATCAGCCCAAAACACCCAGTGGACTATCGGGTATGTAAAGCTAAATCTCAGAAACACTTTCAGGCATAAATAGCGCATGTTCCTACCTCAGGAGAGTCGTCACAGTCTCCAAACACTTCTGCAAAGTCTGATGGACTTTTCCTCAGAGTCTGGTCAGCTGGCAGTGTGTTGTCATTGTACGATGACACAAACTTAAAGTCACTGGTTCGAGACCCTGTTGTCAGGTAGGCGTCATAATTGTAAGCGCTGCGTAAAGTTCCTGTACCGTCAACATCTGCGTAATTAGGAGGAAGATACGCGCTGGGGATGGCCACTGCTCCGTCAAACAACAGTCTGGGCTTTCTCCTGCGACAAAACCTCACACCGAGGATGATGATGATGAAGGTCAGAAAAAACGTCGACACACACACCAGCGCGATGATCAGATAAGAGGTCAGTTTGGAGTTCTTCTCATCATAAGAAATGTCCTTCAGTTCTGGCACCTCAGCCAAGTTATCAGAAATCAGTAAATACATGGAACAGGTGGCAGACAGAGAGGGCTGCCCGTTATCTTTCACTGACACTACAAGGTTCTGTTTCATGCTGTCAGATTCAGAAATGTCCCGCTGGGTCCTGATCTCTCCACTGTGGACACCAATAGTGAAAAGTCCCGGATCAGTGGATTTCACTATTTGATACGACAGCCAGGCGTTCTGTCCAGAGTCCGCGTCCACCGCTATCACTTTGGACACCAGGGAGCCTCCGTGTGCAGCTTTGGGGACCAGCTCGGTCATGAACGACTTGCCCTCTGGCCCGGGGTACAGGATCTGAGGAGAGTTGTCATTCACATCTGATATGAAAACACTCACGGTCACGTTGCTGCTGAGAGGAGGAGAACCGTTGTCTCTGGCCATCACCTGAACTTTGAAGCTCCGTAACTGTTCATAATCAAACGACCTCACAGCGTGGATCACCCCCGTGTCTCCGTTCACGGACACATAGGAGGACACCGGGGCACCGTTCACCTCACCGCCTAACAGAGAATAAATCACTGTACCGTTCTGTCTCCAGTCGGGGTCTCGAGCACTAACGGAACATAAAGTGGAGCCAGCTTTGTTATTCTCACTCACATATGCGCTGTACGACTGCTCCTCAAACACAGGTGGGTTGTCGTTGATGTCTGCTACAGATAACTGAACAGTTTTAGACGACGACAGAGGTGGAGAGCCCTCGTCAGTGGCACTGATTGTAATGTTGTAATCAGACACTAGTTCACGGTCCAGTTGTCCTGTGCTCACCAGAGAATAATAGTTCTTAATAGAAGGAACCAACTTAAAAGGGACATTTTGCTGAATGGAGCAGCGGACCTGTCTGTTACTATCGGAGTCTCTGTCCTGCACGTTAATGATGCCCACCTCTGTACCAGGTGTTGTGTCCTCAGGTATGGGGTTCATCAGTGATTTCAAACTGACTACAGGGGCGTTGTCATTCACATCAGTGATAGAAATTATTACTTTAGCATAAGATGAAAGCCCAAACCCATCTTTAGCTTGGACGCGTATTTCAAAGGATGAAGTGCTTTCATAATCAACAGCACCAATCACTTTTATCTCACCGAGTTTACGGTCAATACTAAAAAGCTTCTTCACATCTTCAGTTACATGTCCAAACTCATAGGTAACATCCCCATTGACTCCCTCGTCTGCATCAGTAGCACTCACTTTAATCACGACAGTATCTGCAGGAGAGTTTTCAGGCAGACTGGCTTTATAAACGGCCTGACTGAACACTGGGGCGTTATCATTAGCATCCAGTACAGTGACGTGAATGACTACTGTACCTGATCTCTGAGGAGAGCCTCCATCTAAAGCCGAGAGGAGCAAATTGAGCTCCTTTTGTTTCTCTCGGTCAAGCTCTTTATCAAGAACAAGCTCGATGGTGTTTCCATTAGAAGCTAAAATAAAATTTTCATTCTTCTTAAGGCTGTACTGCTGAACCGAGTTTTGTCCTACATCCGCATCGCGAGCCTCCTCTATCACAAAACGAGCTCCTCGGTCTGCTGACTCCTGAATTTCAATATTGAAGTAATCATCTTTGAATTGTGGAGAGTTATCATTGATATCTTGAATATGTAGAGTAATACGATGGAGCTCGAGAGGATTCTCCAGCACGAGCTCCTGTTTCAAGATACATGACGCCTTTTCACCACAAAGCCCCTCTCGGTCGATCCTGTCTGCAACAATCAGTTCTCCGTTATTCAGGTTTATGTCACAGTACCGTGTATCAGTCCCGTCCGTGTCAATGCGGGCTCTTCTGTTAGAGAGAGCGCCCGTCTGCAGCCCCAGATCCTTAGCTAGATTCCCAATGACCGATCCTCGTTTCATCTCCTCTGGAAAAGAATAGCTCAGGTCTCCATATGCGCCACGCAAGAAAAGGAGGAGGAAACAGAAAGCGCGCATTTCTAATACCCCCATGTTTTAATCCACCGACAGATGTTAACTCATAAGACGTCAAGCAATAAAAGGGCGACAAAATTCAACAACATAAACCGAATACCAACAGCACCGGAGAAAAACTGTGTCCGTAGCTGGACCACACAAGGGCGTACAACGACCACAATAGACCAAGGATTTGAACCGTTTGTAAGGCTGGTGTATGGCGACACCGTGAGTAAAGTTTAACAATAACACGCATAAAATCAAGAGAGTATATTTTTGATGCTGTTTACGTTCCCTTATCCTCTTTCCCTTTCAATAAACAGATGAAACAGATCATTTTACCTATAAAACAGTTAAGCGGTAAGCAGTTCCTGGCATTTAGTTAGGTGCCCTAAATGCAAGTCTGAAGACAACATCTTTCTTCAAGTGACAATTTTTAGACTATAACATCATCTTAACTTAGGATGTAATTGTTATATCCAAACAGTAGCAGTCACAAACTGGAGCATCAAGTGACTCACAGAGGAGTTCAAAAATATATTGAGAAAAACAAACAGGAGTAACATGACTTTTCAAATAAACTAAACCATCATTGACTCACGACTCCTACAACTGAAATATGAATCATGTCAACAACTCATTGATATCTGTTAATATCAGTAATGTTGTATTATACTATCTCATAAGTCATATCGTGTTTATGAGCATAATGTAGTACCTTAAATGTTTTGGAGATCTTAGTATATGATGGCAAAGCTTAGGAAAGGCACTTTCTAAGTTTATCATGAACACAAGCAAGACAAGTATATGACACATCAAAATCAAATTTACAGCAGTCGGATTTGTATCCAATTTGATGTTACAAAATCTCACTGTTAAGTGTTTAAAGTTATAGGTTGATAAAAAATCTTGTATACAGGAGAACCATATAAACCTGAAAAGCACAGTTTTATGAATTACATAGAAGGCATACATTTGGGTGTTTTATTGCAAGGAAAATAAAACAAAACAAAAAGTCAAATATATATGATTTTTCCATGATTAAAATTGATGTAAACTAATAAAATGGGGAGAATACTCTGTTTTTCATTCAAGTTTAATGGACTTTACCTCAGAAACTTTTCAGCTGGCAAAACTATATCATATCTAAATTTAACAAAAAAAGTAACTTCAACTCTACAAAAAAAAAATCATTTTACAATCTTAAAAAAACTTGAAAACAAGACAGATGCCATCCTAAAAAGGATGTCACATACCAACAGCTCTTTCAGCACCAAGGACAGGGACACAATACAAAAAAGTCATGATGCAAAGGCCTACCACCATGGAAGACTGAGACAAAGAGCATTAAGTTCATGACAACCCAGGAGTGGAGGAGAGCTAAAAGTTAAAATACAACAGAAGGCACAAGAAATCATGACTCAGCAGAATACTCAACATCATCATACAAATACAAGGCAATACCTGCAGGCTGCAGCACAGTTTTAATGATATTTGCGTAGTAAACCCATGCAAAAAAAACCAAGTTGCGAATAGAGTAAAACCAATGGGATCATATTTCCTCCAACTGGACAAAAGGATCCATTAATCTGACACAAAAAAAAACACATGCTTAAGTATACGATACACCATAAACCGAGGACAAATGTAAAAGTATATTTCCACTAAGGCATGTAACAACTATATGACTGATCTACATTAAACATGGACACACAGAGTTGTTGAACAATCTTCACCATTAAAATACCCGTATTACTTCATCTAAAACTGACCAGATACTGGCACAGAAGAGCCTAAGCAGCAACTTGCATCAGTACCACAAGAGATTCATCACAGTCTCCAGATACCTCAGCTAAGTCTATTGGACTTCTCCTCAAAGTTTGATCAGTAGGTAGTCCTTTTACACACCCTTAGACACAATCAGAGACAATATTTCCAGTATCTTTATTCTACTTCTTGTTCATCTTGTTAACCACTGGTATTGATAAAATGTGATAAGATACACGGTCTTGTGTAATCCTGATGACGAAAAGCTCATAGAAGCCATAATGTTGACTACAAAGACACATTCAGAGTGCAAAAGATGGATCCAGAACCATGGACAGAGATTGTACAAACTCTAGATTCAGTCATTGCAGACAAAAAATTAAAAAAGTCAGTCATAAGCAGCAATGATTGCTCCGACACACTTCTCTGCATGTTAGGACCTGTGCGGCAGCCATGTGTGGAGAAGCTGTGTTTATTTAGCAGCTGCACAAGTGCACCCTTAGCTGGTGCTCTCACCATGAACAAAAAACATGAACAAAAATTATATTCAGGTAGAGAAAGTTAACATGCATGTTTAACATAAAGCACATCAAAAGTTCAGCAATGGCTTTTAGAAAGTGAGTCTACAACTTGGACTCAGTTTACCTTGAAGCTATCATCATGAAAATATCAAATAGCGCTTAAAAACAAACCCTGAAGGCTTATTCAGTGGTGAATATGAGAGTTAATACTGCTTGTGTCCAAAAGATGGCTGTATTACCATTAAAAATGTCTACCTAGATAACTTAAGGCTGGGATCGTCACCAAACCTATGAAATGTGAAGCAGATCTAACAAGGTTTGTAAAAGTTAGAAACATGTATTTCTACAAGGTGACATTATGACTATAAAGAAATGGACAAATGGATTTGTTGAGTTGTGGGTCTTGATTATGTTTAAAATGTGGAGAAAAATTAAATACTGCATAAAAATCACTATATTTCAAGACATCAAAGTTTGAAGATCTGCCATGGCCCTACCCTTTCTGGCATGAAAAATCATTAGATAACTTTTAATCTAAGGTATGTGTGCAACACACTTAGTGCTGTAGGTCTTGATTGGATGAAGCAACAGGAGCAGAATCCCACAAGAGGTACATTTTGAGGCAAAAAACAAAGTGAAAAAAGATGCGGCAGGTTTTTGAAGTACCGCTTACCAAGTGCTGTAAAATACGAGATATTCTTTGAAGCACAGCTTAAGACTTCTTGCTTGTAAACAAAGTTAAAAGTCAAGGTTTGCAGCACAGGCAAGCAAACCACATTAAAACACTCATGGAGTACAAGTAAACTGTTGGAATTAGATAGTCTCACAACTCAAACAAAACAAAAAATTAACTAATCAGACAATTAACTAATCTGCTAAAACAAACAACACACGCATTTGAGAGGAATAATACACCAACCAATTTAAACTGGCATTTTAAGCTTGCCTTAGCTAGACCGGGTGGAATGAACTCTTAACCAGTGCATCCAACTATGACACTGATGTTATTTCATAAAAAATAAGAATAAAAAAATTCCAGATTAAAAGTGCAGAAAGCCTAAGCTTTATTTTGTTTATTTTCTACTTTTTAATGTCTTAAACTGTAAAATAGGGTTTGCGCACCAAGGATGGGGATGAAAAAAAGAAACAAGATGTATATCGGAGCAAAAGACGATAAGTGCAGAGTAAAGATGGACAGGGGGAGTATCTTTATTTTTCTTAAACATTTTCAGTAAAACCAAAGGATAAATGAGGATGAGTCTACTTTGGTAAGGGTAAAGAGGAGTAAGGACTGAATAAAAAGAGATCCCTAAAAGTTTAGGTATAGTCAACAAATACAAAACACCCTGTCCCATGAAAACTACTAAAACAATTACCACACTCTTTCAAAAACCCTCTGAATATGAGGATGCTGGAGGACGTCTTGAAAACAAACAACACAGTGCAGTGGAACTGCCGCAATCAGATTCAGCAAACTCAGGAAAAAATTCAAAGAGCAAGACAATTAACAGAAACATCAATCAAGACACATTTTAACTAATCTGAAGCACCTCACAGGAAAAGAACAGAGACCCACGCCTCACTGAGGTGAAATAAAATATGAATCACACTTAAGCAATAAAAATAAATACAAGGATCTTTAAATCCCCTGAAAGTGCAATTATTTGTTTGTAAATCATCTGCGACTGTCAGGTAGACGACTCATATAAGCACGTGTTCCTACCTCAGGAGAGTCGTCACAGTCTCCAAACACTTCAGCAAAGTCTGATGGACTTTTCCTCAGAGTCTGGTCAGCTGGCAGTGTGTTGTCATTGTACGATGACACAAACTTAAAGTCACTGGTTCGAGACCCTGTTGTCAGGTAGGCGTCATAATTGTAAGCGCTGCGTAAAGTTCCTGTACCGTCAACATCTGCGTAATTAGGAGGGAGATAAGCGCTGGGGATGGCCACTGCTCCGTCAAACAACAGTCTGGGCTTTCTCCTGCGACAAAACCTCACACCGAGGATGATGATGATGAAGGTCAGAAAAAACGTCGACACACACACCAGTGCGATGATCAGATAAGAGGTCAGTTTGGAGTTCTTCTCATCATAAGAAATGTCCTTCAGTTCTGGCACCTCAGCCAAGTTATCAGAAATCAGTAAATACATGGAACAGGTGGCAGACAGAGAGGGCTGCCCGTTATCTTTCACTGACACTACAAGGTTCTGTTTCATGCTGTCAGATTCAGAAATGTCCCGCTGGGTCCTGATCTCTCCACTGTGGACACCAATAGTGAAAAGTCCCGGATCAGTGGATTTCACTATTTGATACGACAGCCAGGCGTTCTGTCCAGAGTCCGCGTCCACCGCTATCACTTTGGACACCAGAGAGCCTCCGTGTGCAGCTTTGGGGACCAGCTCGGTCATGAACGACTTGCCCTCTGGCCCGGGGTACAGGATCTGAGGAGAGTTGTCATTCACATCTGATATGAACACACTCACGGTCACGTTGCTGCTGAGAGGAGGAGAACCGTTGTCTCTGGCCATCACCTGAACTTTGAAGCTCCGGAACTGTTCATAATCAAACGACCTCACAGCGTGGATCACCCCCGTGTCTCCGTTCACCGGACACATAGGAGGACACCGGGGCACCGTTCACCTCACCGCCTAACAGAGAATAAATCACTGTACCGTTCTGTCTCCAGTCGGGGTCTCGAGCACTAACGGAACATAAAGTGGAGCCAGCTTTGTTATTCTCACTCACATATGCGCTGTACGACTGCTCCTCAAACACAGGTGGGTTGTCGTTGATGTCTGCTACAGATAACTGAACAGTTTTAGACGACGACAGAGGTGGAGAGCCCTCGTCAGTGGCACTGATTGTAATGTTGTAATCAGACACTAGTTCACGGTCCAGTTGTCCTGTGCTCACCAGAGAATAATAGTTTTTAATGGAAGGAACCAACTTAAAAGGGACATTCTGCTGAATGGAGCAGCGGACCTGTCTGTTACTATCAGAGTCTCTGTCCTGCACGTTAATGATGCCCACCTCTGATCCAGGTGACACGTTCTCAGGTATGGGGTTAGTCAGTGACTTCAGGTATATTACTGGAGCATTATCATTCACGTCAGTGATATCAATAATCACTTTTGCTTCTGATGACAGACCATAACCATCTTTTGCCTCAACAAAAACTTCATACTTGGATCCCTCTTCATAATCGATGTTTCCAGCTACACTGATCTCTCCAGATTTTTCATCTAAAGAGAAAAATGTTTGTGATTTATCAGAAATTCGACTAAATTCATACGTAACTTCTCCGTTGACACCTTCGTCTGCGTCAGATGCACTCACAGTGATCACAGGTGTATCGATAGGAGAGTTTTCTGCTATCGTTGCTGTATAGATGCTCTCAGTGAACACTGGGGCGTTATCATTAGCATCTAGTACAATGACGTGTATGACTACAGTCCCGGATCTCTGAGGAGAGCCTCCATCGACAGCTGTGAGCAATAATTTCATCTCCTGCTGCTCCTCTCGATCTAACTCTTTGTCCAAAACCAACTCACCGTATTTACGACCAGCGCTCGTCGTCTGAATATTGAAAACAAAGTGAGGGTTTTGTTGCAGAATGTAGCTCTGAACTGAGTTCTTGCCTATATCTGCATCCTGTGCTGCATTAATACGATACTTGGCTCCTTTGATCGCCGACTCACTTATTTCTAGCTTTATTATATCCTTCGGGAAAATCGGCGCGTTGTCGTTAACATCCTGCACCTGCAGAGACAACCGGTGTAACTCCAATGGATTCTCCAACAGCAAGTCGAATTTGAGAACACACGAAGGCTTTTCTCCACAATGCTCCTCTCGGTCAATTCTCTCAGAAACGAATAAATCCCCGCTCCGAAGATTTACCCCGCAGTATTGTTTGTCACTTCCCTCCATATCAACACGAGCTTTTCGAGCAGACAGTCTGCCCACCTCCAGGCCCAGATCCTTCGCAATATTTCCTATAACAGATCCTCGCTTCTGCTCCTCCAGGACAGAATAGCTCAGGTCCCCGTGAGCGTAATGCACCACGACAAAGAAAAAGACAAAGCCGCAGATCTGAACAACACTCCGTTTAGAAAACATCCTAGGATAGTAGTGGTATAGTTACACCTACTTATTCTGAACAAACAAATACGATGTTGTTCAAAGATGTGTCCTTCGAGTATCTACCGTCGGTACTGAAGGCTACAAAGAACAGGGATGGTCCAATGGAATAAGGGTGGTGTGAAAAGCAGCCTGAACATCTGACCCCTTAGCTGGTCTACAGTGACACCGTGAGTACAAACTGAACACAGCAATCTACTTGAAAATACACCATGAAGTACACTGACCGTTTCATGTCACCAAACCTTTAGCCTGTGCAAAAATTCAAGAATTCGGACATTATAATTAAAGACAGTTAATGAGTAAAATGACAAATGTCCATTATTTCTACTGATGATTTTTCTCCTTCAAGGGACCATCTTAAACATATACAAGCGCAAAGAGGGTACCTCATTTATACTGTTGAATAAATACATGAATAATTAGTGAGTTCTTATTTTGTGTGTTAAAATGCACACAGAGAACAACGGGGAGTTTCAGAACCAAGGACAAGACAAGGTATTTAGCTCCACTTCAGACACAAGTGTGTACACAATCAGTGCAGAGTAGGTAGAAAAATAAAAATACACATACAGTGATTTATAATAATCACTCATCTGTGGGGTGGGGGTTAAGGACTGAGCAAAATAGGATGTGCCTTTCACTGCTTAGGTTTCACGTTAAGAGTAGAAATAAGAACACAATCTAGAAAATAGGCTAGAAAAGAAGAGAGGAAATTGCAGTGAAAACTTTCTGAAAAATAAAACCTGTAAGTTGGAATGTAGGTGATAAAAATGATACTTTCTTAAGCAAAGCCTAAAGTCTCATCCTTAGAAAATCCTGAGAAAAACTAAATATCACAATAATAATAAAAAGAATCAAATCCTGTCATATAAAAAAAAAAAAAATCACAAATAGGAACAACACATTGAAATTTCACATGCTCTAACACACGTATACATCCTCAATTTAAGGACAAATAGAACACTAGCCAATCACAACTTGTGTAGCTATGAACTTTGACACAACCAACCAAAAAAAGGCAAGTTCTATGGAAGTCTTTATCAATGTTATCCGAAATCATGCTTGTGTCATATGTGAAGACTTTACTGGAACACAAAAAGGCCAAGTAGTAATCTGCATATGTTTCTACACCAACAGTGTCATCACACTACCAGATACTATAAGTAACCTTACCCACATCTCTAAGCCACTTAAAGTATGTCAGCAAGTTGAAATGTCCTGCTATAATTGTAGACTACAAACAAAAACAAGAAGCATTATTTCAGATGTTTTCAGGCATTAGCAAGGAAGACAGACTGAATTGGACTGTGATGTCAGAGAATAAAGTGGAGTAAAATGAGTCATTCAGGAGAGTTGTGAACATGAGCAGATGCAGTTCAGTTGTTTTTGTGAACTGTAAAGTTGAATTTCAGCACCAAGGACAGAGGCAAATAATAGCCAAGCTTCAAATGAGCAAGAAAAAAATGAGTGCAGAGTAAAAGATAAACAGTGAAACTTGAGAAAAATCTAGAGTACAGGTACTTCTGTTGGGATAAAAACTATTCAGGACAAAAAGATAGAAGATCTGTGAGAATGTTGAAAGTCAAAAGAGCCCCTACAAAAATACTTTTAAAATATCACAGAAATTGAAACACCCTTTGCATCATGACTTAAGGTAGTGTGCCTTATAAACCACATAAAAAATTTTAAGAGATCTCAAGTATAAGGAGAACTCAGAACATAGCTAGATAGTACATCTTTATTTGAAGCAAGTTTCTATACCCCAAGCAAAAGTCAAGTAACAGAGCAGTAAAAAAGTAATGAAATCAACTCCTTTTAAGACTCAGGCCAAACATCGTACAACCAGACACCTAAGAACAACTAGCACTAATATCTTTTACTCTATAATCAACATTTTTATACAATCACTGCAGCTTAAAAAACAAATAAAACTATGAATCACAAATGACTGAAATGAAGGGAAATTTAAGCCATCCTGAAATTAACCCAATAAAACACCAAAACCTCGGTGTTTGAACAAAAATGATTAGGAATTAAGACCATATAGTCCAATTAGGATTATAATCAAAGGTGAAGGGGTGATAAACGTGTGATTCAAGCAATATGAATCCAGTGCTCAAGCAGACCACTCTTATTAGCTCATATTCCTACCTCAGGAGAGTCGTCACAATCTCCAAACACTTCAGCAAAGTCTGATGGACTTTTCCTCAGAGTCTGGTCAGCTGGCAGTGTGTTGTCATTGTACGATGACACAAACTTAAAGTCACTGGTTCGAGACCCTGTTGTCAGGTAGGCGTCATAATTGTAAGCGCTGCGTAGAGTTCCTGTGCCGTCAACATCTGCGTAATTAGGAGGGAGATACGCGCTGGGGATGGCCACTGCTCCGTCAAACAACAGTCTGGGCTTTCTCCTGCGACAAAACCTCACACCGAGGATGATGATGATGAAGGTCAGAAAAAACGTCGACACACACACCAGCGCGATGATCAGATAAGAGGTCAGTTTGGAGTTCTTCTCATCATAAGAAATGTCCTTCAGTTCTGGCACCTCAGCCAAGTTATCAGAAATCAGTAAATACATGGAACAGGTGGCAGACAGAGAGGGCTGCCCGTTATCTTTCACTGACACTACAAGGTTCTGTTTCATGCTGTCAGATTCAGAAATGTCCCGCTGGGTCCTGATCTCTCCACTGTGGACACCAATAGTGAAAAGTCCCGGATCAGTGGATTTCACTATCTGATACGACAGCCAGGCGTTCTGTCCAGAGTCCGCGTCCACCGCTATCACTTTGGACACCAGAGAGCCTCCGTGTGCAGCTTTGGGGACCAGCTCGGTCATGAACGACTTGCCCTCTGGCCCGGGGTACAGGATCTGAGGAGAGTTGTCATTCACATCTGATATGAACACACTCACGGTCACGTTGCTGCTGAGAGGAGGAGAACCGTTGTCTCTGGCCATCACCTGAACTTTGAAGCTCCGGAACTGTTCATAATCAAACGACCTCACAGCGTGGATCACCCCCGTGTCTCCGTTTACTGACACATAGGAGGACACCGGGGCACCGTTCACCTCACCGCCTAACAGAGAATAAATCACTGTACCGTTCTGTCTCCAGTCGGGGTCTCGAGCACTAACGGAACATAAAGTGGAGCCAGCTTTGTTATTCTCACTCACATATGCGCTGTACGACTGCTCCTCAAACACAGGTGGGTTGTCGTTGATGTCTGCTACAGATAACTGAACAGTTTTAGACGAAGACAGAGGTGGAGAGCCCTCGTCAGTGGCACTGATTGTAATGTTGTAATCAGACACTAGTTCACGGTCCAGTTGTCCTGTGCTCACCAGAGAATAATAGTTTTTAATTGAAGGAACCAACTTAAATGGGACATTTTGCTGAATGGAGCAGCGGACCTGTCTGTTACTATCAGAGTCTCTGTCCTGCACGTTAATGATGCCCACCTCTGATCCAGGTGACACGTTCTCAGGGATGGGAGATGTCAGTGATTTTATGTAAATCAGAGGAGCATTATCATTCACATCAGTAATATCAATTATCACTTTTGCTTCTGAGGAGAGACCATTGCGATCTTTAGCCTCAACAGAAACTTCATATTTGGATCCCTCTTCATAATCGATGCTTCCTGCAACACTGATCACTCCAGTTTTCTCCTCCAGTGAAAACAACTTTCGGGATTTATCAGAGATTCGACCAAACTCATACGTTACTTCTCCGTTGACACCTTCATCTGCGTCAGATGCACTCACAGTGATCACAGGTGTATTTATGGGTGAGTTTTCTGCTATCGTTGCTGTATAGATGCTCTCAGTGAACACTGGGGCGTTATCATTAGCATCTAGTACAATGACGTGTATGACTACAGTCCCGGATCTCTGAGGAGAGCCTCCATCAACAGCTGTGAGCAATAATTTCATCTCCTGCTGCTCCTCTCGATCTAACTCTTTATCCAAAACCAACTCACCGTATTTACTGCCAGCGCTTGTCGTCTGAATATTGAAAACAAAGTGAGGGTTTTCTTGCAAAATGTAGCTCTGAACTGAGTTCTTGCCTATATCTGCATCCTGTGCTGCACTGATACGATACTTGGCTCCTTTGTCAGCTGATTCACTTATTTCGAGCTTTATTATATCCTTTGGGAAAAATGGCGCGTTGTCGTTAACATCCTGCACCTGCAGAGACAACCGGTGTAACTCCAATGGATTCTCCAACAGCAAGTCGAATTTGAGAACACACGAAGGCTTCTCTCCACAATGCTCCTCTCGGTCAATTCTTTCAGAAACGAATAAATCCCCGCTCTGAAGATTTACCCCGCAGTATTGTTTGTCGCTTCCCTCCATATCAACACGAGCTTTTCGAGCAGACAGTCTGCCCACCTCCAGGCCCAGATCCTTCGCAATATTTCCTATAACAGATCCTCGCTTCTGCTCCTCCAGGACAGAATAGCTCAGGTCCCCGTGAGCGTAATGCACCACGACAAAGAAAAAGACAAAGCCGCAGATCTGAACAACACTCCGTTTAGACATCATCCTAGGATAGTAGTGGTATAGTTAGACCTCGTCAGTCTGAACATACAAATACGTTGTTGTTCAAAGATGTGTCCTTCGATTATCTACCGTCGGTACTGAAGGCTACAAAGAACAGGGATGGTCCAATGGAATAAGGGTGGTGTGAAAAGCAGCCTGAACATCTGACCCCTTAGCTGGTCTACAGTGACACCGTGAGTACAAACTGAACACAGCAATCTACTTGAAAATACACCATGAAATACACTGGCCGTTTCATGTCAACAAACAAACAAACATTTAGCCTGTGTAAAACTTAAAGAATTGGGACATTATAAATAAGGAAAATTAATGAGTAAAAAGACAAATGTCTATTATTTTTACTGATGATCTTTCACCCTCAAGGAACCTTCTTAAACACCAGCAAGTGCAAATAAGGGTTAGTTTATTTTTACTGTTGAATAAATACATTAATAATTAGTGAGTTCTTATTTTGTGTGTTAAAATGCACACAGAGAACAACGGGGAGTTTCAGAACCAAGGACAAGACAAGGTATTTAGCTCCACTTCAGACACAAGTGTGTACACAATTAAGGCAGAGTAGGAAAAAAAAAAAAGAAAAGAAAAGTAAATAGGCCATGCAGGTATTCATAGCAATAATAGCTCATCTGTGGGTTAGGAGTTGGAGACTGACCAATAAAGAATGTGCCTATCACTGTTTAAGTTTGAAGCTGAAAGTTCAAAGGGGAACACAATATAGAAATGGGAAAATAAATAAATAAAGAAATAAAGAAAAGAAAAGAAAGAAAGCGAGAAATTCACAATGAAAACTTTCTGAAATTTAAAAACAAAGAGTTAGGGAGAAGAGGTGATAAAAATGACCAAACCCTAAAGTCTCATCCTTGGAAAACCCTGAGAAAAAACAAATTAAACGAAAATAATAAATTGAAGCAAATGCTGTCAAATTATAACAAAATCTGAACGACACCAATAGAAATTTCACATGCTCTAACACATACACATTTTCAATTCAAGTAAAAATAAAACACTCGCCAGTCACAACTTGTGTAGCTATGAACTTTGACATAAACCAAACAAAGTCAAGCAAGTTATCTTAAAGTCTTTACCTGTGTCACCTGAAATCATGTCTGGGTTATATGTGAAGACTTTACTGGAACACAAAAAGGCCAAGTAGAAATCTGCATATGTCCCTACACCAATAGTGTCATCACACTACCTAATACTATATATTAGTAGTCTTACCCACACCTCTTAACCACTTAAAGCATGTGAGCAAGTGGAAATTTCCTTCCATAATAGTAGACTACAATCACAGGAGAGAAGTATTATTTCAGATGTTTTCAAGCTTTAGCAAGACAGGCTAACTTGGACTGTGATGTCAGAGAATAAAGTGGAGTAAATGAGTCATTAATGAGACTATGAGAGATGTGAAAATGAGCAGATGCAGTTCAGTTGTTTTTGTTAACTGTGAAGTTGAATATCAGCACCAAGGACAGAGGCAAAAAAGGCAACCTCAAATCAAGCAAGGAAAAATAAATGCAGAGTAAGAGATGAACATGGAGGAAGTTTTACACAAAATTGATTCATTTTTAATTTGTTTGGTGAAACTTGAGAAAAAAAGAAGGATAAGGCTACTTCTGGACTTCTGATAGACCACTAAGGACAGAAAATAAAAGATCTATTTGAACATAGAAGGTCAAAAGAGCACCTACAAAAATATTTTTTTCAAAATTGATCACAGAAATTGGAGACACTCGAATCACCATGACTCAAGTCCATATGCCTTATAAACTACACAAAACACAGTGAAAAAATAAGAAAGCTCTCGGAAATAAGAAAAGCTCCAAACATACCTAGATACTGTTTCCATCTCATGAACAAAAGTCAAGTAACAGAGAGGAAAAAATTATGAAGTCATCTGCCTTCCCAACTCAGGCCAAACATCCAACAACAAACAACACCAAAACCTATCACGTTAAAACACACATTAATACGATTTATGCAGCTTAAAAAAACAATAACTCACACATAAGTGAAATAAAGGGAAATTAAAGCCATCCTAAATGAACCAAATAAAAAAAAAAACAATAAGTTATTAATACCAAATAGTCCCGATAAAGTTACATCTAAAGTTGATGGTGTGATGAAGAAGACGATAAAACAAAAGGGTGAACAAGAGACAGAAATATGAGCCTCCTTGAAAAACAATCAATTACTTCATGCATAGTAAATCTAAACGTTGAAAAGGTTTCAATTAAATTGGAGAAAGTGATCATATTTAAATTCCTTTGTTTGCAGCACAACGTCGTAGTATATAAAGTGATACACCCACATAAGATTTGAGAATCAAGCTGGTCTCAGACAAACTCACAACGAGAAAACTCTGAACCAGTCTGATATGGCAAGGTAAACTGTCTTTGGTTTGAAAGACTGACACAGCATAAAATAAAAAAAGTAAAAAACAAAATCTCTGAACAGATGGTTTTTGAGCACGTCCTCAATTAATCAGGAACACTTAAATCTTAGAAACGCTTACCAAAAGGACCCAACTAACAACTGCGTTATTCTAGCATTATTAATGTTTAAGTAGACCACTCTAATCAGCGCATGTTCCTACCTCAGGAGAGTCGTCACAGTCTCCAAACACTTCTGCAAAGTCTGATGGACTTTTCCTCAGAGTCTGGTCAGCTGGCAGGGTGTTGTCATTGTACGATGACACAAACTTAAAGTCACTGGTTCGAGACCCTGTTGTCAGGTAGGCGTCATAATTGTAAGCGCTGCGTAAAGTTCCTGTGCCGTCAACATCTGCGTAATTAGGAGGGAGATAAGCGCTGGGGATGGCCACTGCTCCGTCAAACAACAGTCTGGGCTTTCTCCTGCGACAAAACCTCACACCGAGGATGATGATGATGAAGGTCAGAAAAAACGTCGACACACACACCAGCGCGATGATCAGATAAGAGGTCAGTTTGGAGTTCTTCTCATCATAAGAAATGTCCTTCAGTTCTGGCACCTCAGCCAAGTTATCAGAAATCAGTAAATACATGGAACAGGTGGCAGACAGAGAGGGCTGCCCGTTATCTTTCACTGACACTACAAGGTTCTGTTTCATGCTGTCAGTTTCAGAAATGTCCCGCTGGGTCCTGATCTCTCCACTGTGGACACCAATAGTGAAAAGTCCCGGATCAGTGGATTTCACTATTTGATACGACAGCCAGGCGTTCTGTCCAGAGTCTGCGTCCACCGCTATCACTTTGGACACCAGAGAGCCTCCGTGTGCAGCTTTGGGGACCAGCTCGGTCATGAACGACTTGCCCTCTGGCCCGGGGTACAGGATCTGAGGAGAGTTGTCATTCACATCTGATATGAACACACTCACGGTCACGTTGCTGCTGAGAGGAGGAGAACCGTTGTCTCTGGCCATCACCTGAACTTTGAAGCTCCGGAACTGTTCATAATCAAACGACCTCACAGCGTGGATCACCCCCGTGTCTCCGTTCACCGACACATAGGAGGACACCGGGGCACCGTTCACCTCACCGCCTAACAGAGAATAAATCACTGTACCGTTCTGTCTCCAGTCGGGGTCTCGAGCACTAACGGAACATAAAGTGGAGCCAGCTTTGTTATTCTCACTCACATATGCGCTGTACGACTGCTCCTCAAACACAGGTGGGTTGTCGTTGATGTCTGCTACAGATAATTGAACAGTTTTAGACGACGACAGAGGTGGAGAGCCCTCGTCAGTGGCACTGATTGTAATGTTGTAATCAGACACTAGTTCACGGTCCAGTTGTCCTGTGCTCACCAGAGAATAATAGTTTTTAATTGAAGGAACCAACTTAAAAGGGACATTTTGCTGAATGGAGCAGCGGACCTGTCTGTTACTATCAGAGTCTCTGTCCTGCACGTTAATGATGCCCACCTCTGTACCAGGTGACACGTTCTCAGGGATGGGATTTGTCAGTGATTTTATGTAAATCAGAGGAGCATTATCATTCACGTCAGTAATATCAATTATCACTTTTGCTTCTGATGACAGACCATAACCATCTTTAGCCTCAACAGAAACTTCATATTTGGATCCCTCTTCATAATCGATGCTTCCTGCAACACTGATCACTCCAGTTTTCTCCTCCAGTGAAAACAACTTTCGGGATTTATCAGAGATTCTACCAAACTCATATGTCACTTCTCCGTTGACACCTTCATCTGCGTCAGATGCACTCACAGTGATCACAGGTGTGTCGATAGGGGAGTTTTCTGCTATCGTTGCTGTATAGATGCTCTCAGTGAACACTGGGGCGTTATCGTTAGCATCTAGTACAATGACGTGTATGACTACAGTCCCGGATCTCTGAGGAGAGCCTCCATCAACAGCTGTGAGCAATAATTTCATCTCCTGCTGCTCCTCTCGATCTAACTCTTTGTCCAAAACCAACTCACCGTATTTACTGCCAGCGCTTGTCGTCTGAATATTGAAAACAAAGTGAGGGTTTTCTTGCAAAATGTAGCTCTGAACTGAGTTCTTGCCTATATCTGCATCCTGTGCTGCACTGATTCGATACTTGGCTCCTTTGACAGCCGATTCTCTTATCTCTAACTTAACTGTATCCCTCGGGAAAAATGGCGCGTTGTCGTTAACATCCTGCACCTGCAGAGACAACCGGTGTAACTCCAATGGATTCTCCAACAGCAAGTCGAATTTGAGAACACACGAAGGCTTTTCTCCACAATGCTCCTCTCGGTCAATTCTTTCAGAAACGAATAAATCCCCGCTCTGAAGATTTACCCCGCAGTATTGTTTGTCACTTCCCTCCATATCAACACGAGCTTTTCGAGCAGACAGTCTGCCCACCTCCAGGCCCAGATCCTTTGCAATATTTCCTATAACAGATCCTCGCTTCTGCTCCTCCAGGACAGAATAGCTCAGGTCCCCGTGAGCGTAATGCACCACGACAAAGAAAAAGACAAAGCCGCAGATCTGAACAACACTCCGTTTAGACATCATCCTAGGATAGTAGTGGTATAGTTAGACCTCGTCAGTCTGAACATACAAATGCGTTGGTGATCAAAAGATGTGTCCTTCGAGTATCTACCGTCGGTACTGAAGGCTACAAAGAACAGGGATGGTCTAATGGAATAAGGGTGGTGTGAAAAGCAGCCTGAACATCTGACCCCTTAGCTGGTCTACAGTGACACCGTGAGTACAAACTGAACACAGCAATCTACTTGAAAATACACCATGAAATACTCTGGCCGTTTCATGTTAACAAACAAACAAACCTTTAGCCTGTGTAAAACGTAATGGTAACAAAAATGAAAATAAGAGAATTATTAAGTGAAAAGACAAAGGTCTTTTATTTTTACTGATGATTCTTCTTCCTCTAGGAACAATCTGAAACATCTACAAGCACAACAAGGGTAGCTCATTTATCCTGTTGAATAAATACATGAATAATTAGTGAGTTCTTATTTTGTATGTTAAAATGCACGCAGAGAACAACATGGAGTTTCAGAACCAAGGACAAAAGTTAGACAAGGTATTTATCTCCACTTTAGAAACAAGTGTGTACACAATTAGTGCAGAGCAGAAAGAAAAATAAAAAGACAAATGCACTGATCTATGATAATAATAGCTCTTCTGTGGGGTGGGGATATGGGGACTGACCAATAAAGGATGTGCTTATCAATGTTCAAGTTTAAAGCTGAAAGTTCAAAGGACAACACAATAGAGAAAATAGGCTCGACAAGAGAAGGACTTTGCAATAAAAACTTTCAGAAAAAGAAAACCAGTGATAAAATTAACACTTCAAGCAAAGCTGAAAGACGTATCCTTTGAAAACCCTGAGAAAAACTAAATATCACAATAATAATAAATATATCCAAATCCTGTTATATATACATATATATATATATATATATATATATACAGTATATGTATATATATATATACACAGTATATGTATATATATATATACACAGTATATGTATATATATATATATACACAGTATATGTATATATATATATATATACACAGTATATATATATTGAAATTGCACATGCTCTATATACATTCTCAATTCGAGGACAAATAATACACTAGCCGGTCATAACTTGTGCAGCTATGAACTTTGACATAAACCAAATAAAGTCAAGCAAGTTCTATGAAAGTCTTTACCTGTGTTACCTGAAAGCATATCTGTGCTATATGTGAATACAACAAGGCCAAGTAGTAATCTGCACATGTCCCTACACCAACAGTGTAATCACACTACCTGACACTATAAGTAACCTTACCCACACCTCTAAGCCACTTAAAGTATGTGAGCAAGTTGAAATGTCCTGCTATAATTGTTGACTACAAACACAGACAATAAGCATTATTTCAGATGTTTTCAAACATTAGCATGGAAGACAGACTGCCTTGAACTGTAATGTGAGAGAATAAAGCTGAGTAAAATGAGTCATTAATGAGAGTGGGAGAGATGCAAAAATGAGCAGATGGAGTTCAGTTGTTTTTGTGAACTGTAAAGTTGAATTTCAGCACCAAGGACAGAGGCAGCAAAAGAAGCCATGCTTCAAATCAAGCATGAAAATAGAAGTGCTAAGTAAAAGATGAACAGGGAAGTATTTTCATAAACCATTGATTTATTCTGAATTTGTGTTGGAGAAGTTTGAGGAAAATCAAGGAATCGGCTAATATTGTTAGGATAAAGAGCATTCAGGATGGAAAATAATAGATCTGTTAGAACATAGAAGGTCAAAAAAGCACCTACAAATATGTGAAAACAACAAAATTATCACCGACATTGAGACATCCTTTGAATCATGAGTTAAGGCAGTATGCCTTATAACCTACATAAAAAAACTATGTAAAAGAATTAGAAAGATATCAAGTACAAGAAAAACTTAAAACATGGGTAGATAATGCATCTCTATTCTGAGCAAGCATTTATATCCAGAGCAAAAGTCAAGCAACAGAGCGGCAAAGAATAATGAAATAAGCTGCTTTCAGACCAAACATCATACAACCAAACACCTAAAAACAACTAGCACTAATATCTATCATGTTAAAACACACATTTTAATACATTTACTGATGCCTAAAAAAACAATGACTCACACATGACTGAAATGAAGGTCAATTAAAGCCATCCCGAATACAACCAAATAAATAACCAAAACCTCGGTGTTTGAACAAAGAGTATAGGGTTATAAGACCACATAGTCCCATTAGAGTTGAAATCAAAGGTGATGGGGTGATAAACATATTTGTGATTCAAGCAATATCAATCCAGGGCTCAAGTTTAACACTCTAACTAGCGCATGTGCCTACCTCAGGAGAGTCGTCACAGTCTCCAAACACTTCAGCAAAGTCTGATGGACTTTTCCTCAGAGTCTGGTCAGCTGGCAGTGTGTTGTCATTGTACGATGACACAAACTTAAAGTCACTGGTTCGAGACCCTGTTGTCAGGTAGGCGTCATAATTGTAAGCGCTGCGTAAAGTTCCTGTGCCGTCAACATCTGCGTAATTAGGAGGGAGATACGCGCTGGGGATGGCCACTGCTCCGTCAAACAACAGTCTGGGCTTTCTCCTGCGACAAAACCTCACACCAAGGATGATGATGATGAAGGTCAGAAAAAACGTCGACACACACACCAGCGCGATGATCAGATAAGAGGTCAGTTTGGAGTTCTTCTCATCATAAGAAATGTCCTTCAGTTCTGGCACCTCAGCCAAGTTATCAGAAATCAGTAAATACATGGAACAGGTGGCAGACAGAGAGGGCTGCCCGTTATCTTTCACTGACACTACAAGGTTCTGTTTCATGCTGTCAGATTCAGAAATGTCCCGCTGGGTCCTGATCTCTCCGCTGTGGACACCAATAGTGAAAAGTCCCGGATCAGTGGATTTCACTATTTGATACGACAGCCAGGCGTTCTGTCCAGAGTCCGCGTCCACCGCTATCACTTTGGACACCAGAGAGCCTCCGTGTGCAGCTTTGGGGACCAGCTCGGTCATGAACGACTTGCCCTCTGGCCCGGGGTACAGGATCTGAGGAGAGTTGTCATTCACATCTGATATGAACACACTCACGGTCACGTTGCTGCTGAGAGGAGGAGAACCGTTGTCTCTGGCCATCACCTGAACTTTGAAGCTCCGGAACTGTTCATAATCAAACGACCTCACAGCGTGGATCACCCCCGTGTCTCCGTTCACTGACACATAGGAGGACACCGGGGCACCGTTCACCTCACCGCCTAACAGAGAATAAATCACTGTACCGTTCTGTCTCCAGTCGGGGTCTCGAGCACTAACGGAACATAAAGTGGAGCCAGCTTTGTTATTCTCACTCACATATGCGCTGTACGACTGCTCCTCAAACACAGGTGGGTTGTCGTTGATGTCTGCTACAGATAACTGAACAGTTTTAGACGACGACAGAGGTGGAGAGCCCTCGTCAGTGGCACTGATTGTAATGTTGTAATCAGACACTAGTTCACGGTCCAGTTGTCCTGTGCTCACCAGAGAATAATAGTTTTTAATTGAAGGAACCAACTTAAAAGGGACATTTTGCTGAATGGAGCAGCGGACCTGTTGCTTATTATCAGAATCTGCATCCTGCACGTTAATGATGCCCACCTCTGTACCAGGTGACACGTTCTCAGGAACCGGATTGGACAGAGATTTCACATAAATTGTAGGAATATTGTCATTCACATCCGTAACATCAATTGTCACCTTGGTGTATGAAGATAGTCCTAAACCATCTCTTGCTCTTACGCGCAAATCATATGTCATAACAGCTTCATAGTCAACTGCACCGATTACTCTAATCTCACCGAGTTTACGGTCAATACTAAAAAGCTTCTTCACATCTTCAGTTACATGTCCAAATTCATATGTAACATCTCCATTGACTCCCTCATCTGCATCAGTAGCACTCACTGTGACCACTATAGTATCTACTGGAGAGTTTTCAGGCAGACTGGCTTTATAAACGGCCTGACTGAACACTGGGGCGTTATCATTAGCATCCAGTACAGTGACGTGAATTACTACTGTACCTGATCTCTGAGGAGAGCCTCCATCTAAAGCCGAGAGGAGCAAATTGAGCTCTTTTTGTTTCTCTCGGTCAAGCTCTTTATCAAGAACAAGCTCGACGGTGTTTCCATTAGAGGCTAAAATAAAATTGTCATTCTTTTGAAGGCTGTACTGCTGAACCGAGTTTTGTCCTACATCCGCATCGTGAGCCTCCTCTATCACAAAACGAGCTCCTCTGTCTGCAGATTCTCTAATTTCAATATTGAACGACCCTTCTTTGAATTGTGGGGAGTTATCGTTGATATCTTGAATGTGGAGAGTAAAAGGGTGAAGTTCGAGGGGGTTTTCCAGCACAAGATCGCGTTTTATAGCACACGACAGTTTTTCCCCGCATAGCTCCTCCCGGTCAATCCTGTCGTCAATAATCAAATCTCCAGTATTTGGATTGATGTCGCAAAAACGTTTACGTTTCCCTGCTGCATCCACGCGGGCGTTTCTGACAGACAGCCGTCTTGAGTCCAGGTTGAGATCCTTTGCAATATTTCCAATAACAGATCCGCGCTTCATTTCCTCCTGGACGGAATAGCTCACGTCTCCATTCACGGTGTGCCACACGAGATAAAAAATGAGAAAATTCAACCCGAGTCCCATCTTGGAAATACGTCTGTCACAAAAAAAAATGTCCTCGTCTGATCACAATGTTTGTATTGTTTTAGTCCACACGGAAACGAATAACACTCCACAGTTTCTCCGTCTGCACCTCGAGAACAACGGGAGCTAAAGACTGCCCTTTATTTGTCTACATATGAAAGGGTGGAGTGGAAATGTTTAAAGGAAGACAGGTCAATAGCGACACCATGAGTGGAATCAAGATATAACAGATTGTACAAGTATTTTTCAAGCACAAATATAGCTATTGGTAATCATTATTATATTGTCATAATTTAACATCACAACCAGCTTCTTAGAACATAATCAATTATATTCATTAATGTGCAATTTAATGCTTCATTACAGCACAACAGAGTAGTGGATTTCAAATAAATGCAGTAAAGGAAGGAAATGAGGAGATCAAGAGTCAGCATCTATCAACTACAAAGAGTGCCCCAAAAAGAACCTGTCATTTTCTCACAATACTCAGTGAGAGTGCAAGCCAATGACGACCAAAACAGCTATTCTTTATTTCGTGATCTGTCTTAAGGTGTTACAACCTTTCCACAATCACTTCATTTTGTTTCAAATCCTAACAAGCCAACTAGAATTGAAATTAAACTAAATATAAACTTATTACACATAACTACAAAGCGGAGAGGATAGGATGAACTACCAAAAGATATTTAGATTCCAACTAATGCAACTTTACATACTTTTAAGAAATAGAGTTTATATCACTGAATGCAGACAGTGGAAGAGGAACTCGGAACACCAAGAGAGGTGACTTTATAATCCCTCACAGACCTTCTGCCTTTCGCAACTCAGTCCACTCTTTAAGAGCAACAACTTCTACTTTATTACAAAGCAAATAAGAAGAGTGCAGGAGCTGTACTGAATATAAAATTAGGATGAAATCATGGCTGATACAAACTCAAACAACTCATCACATCCGTTTCATGTATTCTGTTTTATAACATTGTAGTGATTTCGTTTTTTTTTTTAGAATGGAGAATCTAATGTTGCTGTGTACCAGTTATAGTATAATACATCAGCTTTAGTATTTTAATATCATGTTGAAGTGATTTTAAAAAGATATTGCTGTGTCGTGATTGTGTACGATTGTATAGTTGTTTTTGTAGCCTAGTCTCTGAATATTTACATGTAGTATCATGAATGATAAACTGTTTTAAAGACAGACAGACAGACAGACAGACAGAAAAGCACAAAAAAGAAGGAACACATGATTTCTATTTTTATGGGAAAGAAGTTCAAGAAAATATTTTGCAATGTCCACAGGGTAACCAGAAGCTACAGTTCCAGCTTCTTTATTCTACTTTGATATGCTTCCTTCAAGCCACTAGCGGAAATGAACATCCTAATTGATGACCAGAAACAATTTTTTTAAATGACACCAGATAAAAGCACCCATGCACACACCACCGAGGAAACTGTTTCAGTAGACAACTGTTTGGGACAATGTTTTCATGATGACACTGTGACCAGGATAAGGAAAAAGGTGCCAAAGACATAGTTCAGCACCATGGACAGAGTTGTAACCGATTCTGGCATGTTTTCCACAATCACAAATTTAAAAAGATCACGCAGCCAGTACAGATCACACTGATCAAGCTCAAACAAATACTTACAGAAACTTCAAAATGAATGGTTAAGAAAAAATACACAAACAAGGGCAAGTGTGCACAGTGCGTACCTTTCGACCACACATGAAGGATGTTTTTAAGATGCATGCCAAAATTGGCCTTTCATGGTTAGGTTCATAAATTGATAAGATTTTGGACTGAAAACTAAGAGGACAATATATTGATGTGATATCTTAGAGAGGAAACCTTAGCATTTCAGCTGTTTCATTGATCAAGATTATAAAAACATAAACATATAGCTAAAAACTTTTAAAAGAAAAAAGAAAAAAACGAAAGTGATTCTTGAAGACTCTGAACTCAAGTTTAGTGTTGGGGGATAACTCAGTAAAACCATCAACATCAGAAGCCTATATAAAAAAATAGTTACAGAAAAGGTAAAAACTGCTGAAATCTTACTCGCTTCATGCGCCAAAGACGAAGGAAAAAAATGAGGGACCTAAAACACAACGTAGTTAAAAAATTTAACATGCAAAAAAAACAAGTAAATGGGTTCTGATTGTACCAGCGGTCTCTTAATTTTAATCCAATTGACGCAGCATTTAAAGAAACGTATGCCCATCAAAGCTGGCTTTTAAGGGGCAAGAAACCAACAAACAACAACGACAACAACAACGACAACTACACACACACACACAAACAAACTACAGTCTTGTAAGCAAGGTTAACCATGGTAACCATATGGTATATGATCTATCGCTGTCCTGGTAAGTGAGCAATATGCGTTTAACAGTATTTGTATCAGGCACACGCTCCTACCTCAGGAGAGTCGTCACAGTCTCCAAACACTTCAGCAAAGTCTGATGGACTTTTCCTCAGAGTCTGGTCAGCTGGCAGTGTGTTGTCATTGTACGATGACACAAACTTAAAGTCACTGGTTCGAGACCCTGTTGTCAGGTAGGCGTCATAATTGTAAGCGCTGCGTAAAGTTCCTGTGCCGTCAACATCTGCGTAATTAGGAGGGAGATACGCGCTGGGGATGGCCACTGCTCCGTCAAACAACAGTCTGGGCTTTCTCCTGCGACAAAACCTCACACCGAGGATGATGATGATGAAGGTCAGAAAAAACGTCGACACACACACCAGCGCGATGATCAGATAAGAGGTCAGTTTGGAGTTCTTCTCATCATAAGAAATGTCCTTCAGTTCTGGCACCTCAGCCAAGTTATCAGAAATCAGTAAATACATGGAACAGGTGGCAGACAGAGAGGGCTGCCCGTTATCTTTCACTGACACTACAAGGTTCTGTTTCATGCTGTCAGATTCAGAAATGTCCCGCTGGGTCCTGATCTCTCCACTGTGGACACCAATAGTGAAAAGTCCCGGATCAGTGGATTTCACTATTTGATACGACAGCCAGGCGTTCTGTCCAGAGTCCGCGTCCACCGCTATCACTTTGGACACCAGAGAGCCTCCGTGTGCAGCTTTGGGGACCAGCTCGGTCATGAACGACTTGCCCTCTGGCCCGGGGTACAGGATCTGAGGAGAGTTGTCATTCACATCTGATATGAACACACTCACGGTCACGTTGCTGCTGAGAGGAGGAGAACCGTTGTCTCTGGCCATCACCTGAACTTTGAAGCTCCGGAACTGTTCATAATCAAACGACCTCACAGCGTGGATCACCCCCGTGTCTCCGTTCACCGACACATAGGAGGACACCGGGGCACCGTTCACCTCACCGCCTAACAGAGAATAAATCACTGTACCGTTCTGTCTCCAGTCGGGGTCTCGAGCACTAACAGAACATAAAGTGGAGCCAGCTTTGTTATTCTCACTCACATATGCGCTGTACGACTGCTCCTCAAACACAGGTGGGTTGTCGTTGATGTCTGCTACAGATAACTGAACAGTTTTAGACGACGACAGAGGTGGAGAGCCCTCGTCAGTGGCACTGATTGTAATGTTGTAATCAGACACTAGTTCACGGTCCAGTTGTCCTGTGCTCACCAGAGAATAATAGTTTTTAATAGAAGGAACCAACTTAAAAGGGACATTTTGCTGAATGGAGCAGCGGACCTGTCTGTTACTATCAGAGTCTCTGTCCTGCACGTTAATGATGCCCACCTCTGTACCAGGTGACACGTTCTCAGGTATGGGGTTAGTCAGTGATTTCAGATATATTACTGGAGCATTATCATTGATGTCAGTTATATCAATTATCACTTTTGCTTCTGATGAAAGACCATAACTATCTTTAGCTTCAACAAACACTTCATATTTGGATCCCTCTTCATAATCGATGTTTCCAGCTACACTGATCACTCCAGTTTTCTCCTCCAGTGAAAATAGCTTTCGAGATTTATCAGAGATTCGACTAAATTCATACGTAACTTCTCCGTTGACACCTTCGTCTGCGTCAGATGCACTCACAGTGATCACAGGTGTATCGATAGGTGAGTTTTCTGCTATCGTTGCTGTATAGATGCTCTCAGTGAACACTGGGGCGTTATCATTAGCATCTAGTACAATGACGTGTATGACTACAGTCCCGGATCTCTGAGGAGAGCCTCCATCAACAGCTGTGAGCAATAATTTCATCTCCTGCTGCTCCTCTCGATCTAACTCTTTGTCCAAAACCAACTCACCGTATTTCCGACCAGCGCTCGTCGTCTCAATATTGAAAACAAAGTGAGGGTTTTGTTGCAAAATGTAGCTCTGAACTGAGTTCTTGCCTATATCTGCATCGTGAGCTGCATTAATACGATACTTGGCTCCCTTGTCAGCTGATTCTCTTATCTCTAGTTTTATTATATCCTTCGGAAAAATCGGCGCGTTGTCGTTAACATCCTGCACCTGCAGAGACAACCGGTGTAACTCCAATGGATTCTCCAACAGCAAGTCGAATTTGAGAACACACGAAGGCTTTTCTCCACAATGCTCCTCTCGGTCAATTCTTTCAGAAACGAATAAATCCCCGCTCTGAAGATTTACCCCGCAGTATTGTTTGTCACTTCCCTCCATATCAACACGAGCTTTTCGAGCAGACAGTCTGCCCACCTCCAGGCCCAGATCCTTCGCAATATTTCCTATAACAGATCCTCGCTTCTGCTCCTCCAGGACAGAATAGCTCAGGTCCCCGTGAGCGTAATGCACCACGACAAAGAAAAAGACAAAGCCGCAGATCTGAACAACACTCCGTTTAGACATCATCCTAGGATAGTAGTGGTATAGTTAGACCTCGTCAGTCTGAACATACAAATACGTTGGAGATCAAAAGATGTGTGCTTCGAGTATCTACCGTCGGTACTGAAGGCTACAAAGAACAGGGATGGTCCAATGGAATAAGGGTGGTGTGAAAAGCAGTCTGAACATCTGACTCCTTAGCTGGTCTACAGTGACACCGTGAGTACAAACTGAACACAGCAATCTACTTAAAAATTCACTATGAAATACACTGGCCGTTTTATGTCAACAAACAAACAAACATTTAGCCTGTGTAAAACTTGAGACATTATAAATAAAGACAATTAATGAGTAAAAAGACAAATGTCTATTATTTCTAATGATAATTCTTCTCCCTCAAGGAACAATCTGAAACATCTACAAGCACAACAAGGGTAGCTCATTTATACTGTTGAATAAATAAATAAATTACCACTCAGATCTTATCTTGTGTGCTTAAAATGCACACAGAGAACAACATGGAGTTTCAGAACCAAGGACAGAAGTAAGACAAGGTATTTAGCTCTACTTTAGAAACAAGTGTGTACGCAATTAGTGCAGAGCAGAAAGAAAAATAAAAAGACAAATGCACTGATTTATGATAATAATAGCTCATCTGTGGGGTGGGGATATGGGGACTGACCAATAAAGGATGTGCTAATCAATGTTCAAGTGTGAAGCTGAAAGTTCAAAGGACAACACAATAGAGAAAATAGGCTAGAGAAGAGAAGGACTTTGCAATGAAAACTTGAACTTTGACATAAACCAAATAAAGTCAAGCAAGTTCTATGAAAGTCTTTACCTGTGTTACCTGAAAGCATATCTGTGCTATATGTGAATACAACAAGGCCAAGTAGTAATCTGCACATGTCCCTACACCAACAGTGTAATCACACTACCTGACACTATAAGTAACCTTACCCACACCTCTCAGCCACTTAAAGTATGTGAGCAAGTTGAAATTTCCTGCTATAATTGTTGACTACAAACGCAAACAATAAGCATTATTTCAGATGTTTCCTAACATTAGCATGGAAGACAGACCGCCTTGAACTGTCATGTCAGAGAATAAAGTAGAGTAAATGAGTCATTTATGAGAGTGGGAGAGATGCAAAAATGAGCAGATGGAGTTCAGTTGTTTTTGTGAACTGTAAAGTTGAATTTCAGCACCAAGGACAGAGGCAGCAAAAGAAGCCATGCTTCAAATCAAGCATGAAAATATAAGTGCTAAGTAAAAGATGAACAGGGAAGTATTTTCATATACCACTGATTTATTCTGAATTTGTGTTGGAGAAGTTTGAGGAAAATCAAGGAATCGGCTAATATTGTTAGGATAAAGAGCATTCAGGATGGAAAATGAAAGATCTGTTAGAATATAGAAGGTCAGAAGAGCACACAAACATGTGAAAACAACAAAATTATCACCGACATTGAGACATCCTTTGAATCATGAGTTAAGGCAGTATGCCTTATAACCTACATAAAAAAACTATGTAAAAGAATTAGAAAGATATCAAGTACAAGAAAAACTTAAAACATGGCTAGATAATGCATCTCTATTCCGAGCAAGCATTTATATCCAGAGCAAAAGTCAAGCAACAGAGCAGCAAAAAATAATGAAATCAACTGCTTTCAGACCAAACATCATACAACCAAACAACTAAAAACAACTAGCACTAATATCTATCATGTTAAAACACTAATTTTAATACAGTTACTGATGCTTAAAAAAAACAATGACTCACACATGACTGAAATGAAGGTCAATTAAAGCCATCCCGAATACAACCAAATAAATAACCAAAACCTCGGTGTTTGAACAAAGAGTATAGGGTTATAAGACCATATAGTCCCATTAGAGTTGAAATCAAAGGTGATGGGGTGATAAACATATTTGTGATTCAAGCAATATCAATCCAGTGCTCAAGTAGAACACTCTAACTAGCGCATGTTCCTACCTCAGGAGAGTCGTCACAGTCTCCAAACACTTCTGCAAAGTCTGATGGACTTTTCCTCAGAGTCTGGTCAGCTGGCAGTGTGTTGTCATTGTACGATGACACAAACTTAAAGTCACTGGTTCGAGACCCTGTTGTCAGGTAGGCGTCATAATTGTAAGCGCTGCGTAAAGTTCCTGTGCCGTCAACATCTGCGTAATTAGGAGGGAGATACGCGCTGGGGATGGCCACTGCTCCGTCAAACAACAGTCTGGGCTTTCTCCTGCGACAAAACCTCACACCGAGGATGATGATGATGAAGGTCAGAAAAAACGTCGACACACACACCAGCGCGATGATCAGATAAGAGGTCAGTTTGGAGTTCTTCTCATCATAAGAAATGTCCTTCAGTTCTGGCACCTCAGCCAAGTTATCAGAAATCAGTAAATACATGGAACAGGTGGCAGACAGAGAGGGCTGCCCGTTATCTTTCACTGACACTACAAGGTTCTGTTTCATGCTGTCAGATTCAGAAATGTCCCGCTGGGTCCTGATCTCTCCACTGTGGACACCAATAGTGAAAAGTCCCGGATCAGTGGATTTCACTATTTGATACGACAGCCAGGCGTTCTGTCCAGAGTCCGCGTCCACCGCTATCACTTTGGACACCAGAGAGCCTCCGTGTGCAGCTTTGGGGACCAGCTCGGTCATGAACGACTTGCCCTCTGGCCCGGGGTACAGGATCTGAGGAGAGTTGTCATTCACATCTGATATGAACACACTCACGGTCACGTTGCTGCTGAGAGGAGGAGAACCGTTGTCTCTGGCCATCACCTGAACTTTGAAGCTCCGGAACTGTTCATAATCAAACGACCTCACAGCGTGGATCACCCCCGTGTCTCCGTTCACGGACACATAGGAGGACACCGGGGCACCGTTCACCTCACCGCCTAACAGAGAATAAATCACTGTACCGTTCTGTCTCCAGTCGGGGTCTCGAGCACTAACGGAACATAAAGTGGAGCCAGCTTTGTTATTCTCACTCACATATGCGCTGTACGACTGCTCCTCAAACACAGGTGGGTTGTCGTTGATGTCTGCTACAGATAACTGAACAGTTTTAGACGACGACAGAGGTGGAGAGCCCTCGTCAGTGGCACTGATTGTAATGTTGTAATCAGACACTAGTTCACGGTCCAGTTGTCCTGTGCTCACCAGAGAATAATAGTTTTTAATTGAAGGAACCAACTTAAAAGGGACATTTTGCTGAATGGAGCAGCGGACCTGTCTGTTACTATCAGAGTCTCTGTCCTGCACGTTAATGATGCCCACCTCTGTACCAGGTGACACGTTCTCAGGTATGGGAGATGTCAGTGATTTTATGTAAATCAGAGGGGCATTATCATTCACGTCAGTGATATCAATTATCACTTTTGCTTCTGATGACAGACCATAACCATCTTTTGCTTCAACAGAAACTTCATATTTGGATCCCTCTTCATAATCGATGTTTCCAGCTACACTGATCACTCCAGTTTTCTCCTCCAGTGAAAACAACTTTCGTGATTTATCAGAGATTCGACTAAATTGAAATGTTACTTCTCCGTTGACACCTTCATCTGCGTCAGATGCACTCACAGTGATCACAGGTGTATCGATAGGTGAGTTTTCTGCTATCGTTGCTGTATAGATGCTCTCAGTGAACACTGGGGCGTTATCATTAGCATCTAGTACAATGACGTGTATGACTACAGTCCCGGATCTCTGAGGAGAGCCTCCATCAACAGCTGTGAGCAATAATTTCATCTCCTGCTGCTCCTCTCGATCTAACTCTTTATCCAAAACCAACTCACCGTATTTACTGCCAGCGCTCGTCGTCTCTATATTGAAAACAAAGTGAGGGTTTTGTTGTAAAATGTAGCTCTGAACTGAGTTCTTGCCTATATCGGCATCCTGTGCTAAATTAATACGATACTTGGCTCCTTTGTAAGCTGATTCTCTTATTTCTAGCTTTATTATATCCCTCGGGAAAAATGGCGCGTTGTCGTTGACATCCTGCACCTGCAGAGACAACCGGTGTAACTCCAATGGATTCTCCAACAGCAAGTCGAATTTGAGAACACACGAAGGCTTCTCTCCACAATGCTCCTCTCGGTCAATTCTTTCAGAAACGAATAAATCCCCGCTCTGAAGATTTACTCCGCAGTATTGTTTGTCGCTTCCCTCCATATCAACACGAGCTTTTCGAGCAGACAGTCTGCCCACCTCCAGGCCCAGATCCTTCGCAATATTTCCTATAACAGATCCTCGCTTCTGCTCCTCCAGGACAGAATAGCTCAGGTCCCCGTGAGCGTAATGCACCACGACAAAGAAAAAGACAAAGCCGCAGATCTGAACAACGCTCCGTTTAGACATCGTCCCAGTATAGTAATGGTATAGTTAGACCTCGTCAGTCTGAACATACAAATACGTTGGTGATCAAAAGATGTGTCCTTCGAGTATCTACCGTCGGTACTAAAGGCTACAAAGAACAGGGATGGTCTAATGGAATAAGGGTGGTGTGAAAAGCAGCCTGAACATCTGACCCCTTAGCTGGTCTACAGTGACACCGTGAGTACAAACTGAACACAGCAATCTACTTGAAAATACACCATGAATACACTGGCCGTTTAATGCTCACAAACAAACCTTTAGCCTGTGTAAAACTTAAAGAATTGGGACATTATAAATAAAAATCAGAAAATTAATGAGTAAAAAGACAAATGGTTATTATTTTTACTGATGATCCCCCCCCCCCCCCCCCAAGGAACCATTAAAAACATCTAATATGATAACAAATCTATGCTGTTCAGCACAAGCAGGAAAAAGTAAGCTTATTTATGCAATTAAATAAACAAATAACGAGTCAATTCTTATAGTGCCTCAATATGTACCCACAGAACAACAGGGAGTTTCACCACCAAGGACAGAGACAGGGTATTCAACTCCACTTTAAATACAAATATGCAAGCAATCAGTGCAAAGTAGATCGAAAAATACAAAGACAGATGCAGTGATTTATAACAAGAAAAGTTCACATCTGTGTTGTGTGTGTGTGTGTGTATGGGGGGACTTTAAAAGGATATACCTATCACTGTTTAACTTTAAAGCTAAAAGTTCCTAGGAGAATACAACACAGGTAATGGAAAAGAAAACAAAAAGAGGATTACAAAAAAAAAAGAGGGGAGGGGGGTGTAAAAGTCATCAAAGGGACTCTTAAGCAAAACCAAAAGTCTCATACTTGGAAAACCCTAAAAAGAAATAACACAAAAAAGTAAAAAGAAGCAGATCCTTCCATAATACTCCAACAAAAATAGGCACACTTGCAACTGAAAATTTCACATGCCCTTACAAACACACACGAACGTTTTCAATTCAGGGACAAACAAAACACTAGCAATTCAAAACTGTTGTAGCTATGCACTTTGACATAAAACCAACCAAAGTAAAGGAAGTTCTTTAAAAGTCTTTACCTGTGTTGCCTGAAATCATATCAGTGCTATATCTGAAGACTTAACTGGAACAAAAAGAGGCCAAGAAGTAATCGGCACATGTCACCTTCATCAACAGTGTCATCACACTACCTGATACAACAAGTAGCCTTTCCTCAAAGCCACATAAAGCATGTGAGCAAGTTCAAATTTCCTGCTATAATTGCAGACTACAAGCACAGACAACAAGCATTATTTCAGATGTTTTCAAGCATTAACAAGGAAGACTGACTTGAGCTGTGATGTCAGAAATAAATCAGAGTAAAATTAGTTATTAATGAGAATGGGAGAGTTGTAAAAAAGTGAGAAGATGCAGTTGTTTTTAACTGTGGAGTTGAGTATCAGCACCAAGGACAGAGGCAAATAATAGCCAAGCTTCAAATGAGCAAGAAAAAAAATGAGTGCAGAGTAAAAGATAAACAGGGAAGTATTTTTACACACCACTAATTTATTTCCAATTTGTGTAAGGAAAATTTGAGAAAAAAGAAGGATAAGGCTAACGCCATTTGTATAAGGAGCATTCAGCACTGAAAAAATAAAGAATAAATAGATAAAGATCTGTGAGAATGTAGAAGGTCAAAAGAGCACCTACAAAAATATGTCAAAAACAATGGAGAAAAAATTAAAAGAAGAAAGCTTTCAAATTTTAGAAAAATAGAGTGGAAAAAAATTACTAAATCAGCTGCTTTCCAAACTTAGGCCAAATATCATATAACCAGACCCTAAATACAACCAACATCAAATCAATCATGTTGTACCACAAAATACCATATAATTCCTGCATTTTAAAAACAGTAACTAACTGAAGTGAAGGGAAATTCAAGCAATCCTGAAATTAACCAAATACAAGACCAATAACTTCCCACACCAGGTACAATTAAAGGTGACGGGGTGATAAAGAAGACGACAAAACAAATGTATGAGCAAGAGCCTGAAATATTAGCTCCTTTTAAAAAAGTTAATTACTTCATGCATGGTAAACCTTTACAACTAAACATTCAAAAGGTTTCAATCAAATTAGGATTAAGTGTTCATATATAATGGCTGTTGTTTGAAGCAGAACGTCATGTAGTGGTAAATCCACATAAAATACTTTGACACCAATCTGACATCTCAAGGAAAACTGTCTTTGGTTTGAATAAAAAATATATATATTTATAAAAATGCATGTTCAAAACTCTAACTAGAGCATATTCCTACCTCAGGAGAGTCGTCACAGTCTCCAAACACTTCTGCAAAGTCTGATGGACTTTTCCTCAGAGTCTGGTCAGCTGGCAGTGTGTTGTCATTGTACGATGACACAAACTTAAAGTCACTGGTTCGAGACCCTGTTGTCAGGTAGGCGTCATAATTGTAAGCGCTGCGTAAAGTTCCTGTGCCGTCAACATCTGCGTAATTAGGAGGGAGATAAGCGCTGGGGATGGCCACTGCTCCGTCAAACAACAGTCTGGGCTTTCTCCTGCGACAAAACCTCACACCAAGGATGATGATGATGAAGGTCAGAAAAAACGTCGACACACACACCAGCGCGATGATCAGATAAGAGGTCAGTTTGGAGTTCTTCTCATCATAAGAAATGTCCTTCAGTTCTGGCACCTCAGCCAAGTTATCAGAAATCAGTAAATACATGGAACAGGTGGCAGACAGAGAGGGCTGCCCGTTATCTTTCACTGACACTACAAGGTTCTGTTTCATGCTGTCAGATTCAGAAATGTCCCGCTGGGTCCTGATCTCTCCACTGTGGACACCAATAGTGAAAAGTCCCGGATCAGTGGATTTCACTATTTGATACGACAGCCAGGCGTTCTGTCCAGAGTCCGCGTCCACCGCTATCACTTTGGACACCAGAGAGCCTCCGTGAGCAGCTTTGGGGACCAGCTCGGTCATGAACGACTTGCCCTCTGAACCGGGGTACAGGATCTGAGGAGAGTTGTCATTCACATCTGATATGAACACACTCACGGTCACGTTGCTGCTGAGAGGAGGAGAACCGTTGTCTCTGGCCATCACCTGAACTTTGAAGCTCCGGAACTGTTCATAATCAAACGACCTCACAGCGTGGATCACCCCCGTGTCTCCGTTCACGGACACATAGGAGGACACCGGGGCACCGTTCACCTCACCGCCTAACAGAGAATAAATCACTGTACCGTTCTGTCTCCAGTCGGGGTCTCGAGCACTAACGGAACATAAAGTGGAGCCAGCTTTGTTATTCTCACTCACATATGCGCTGTACGACTGCTCCTCAAACACAGGTGGGTTGTCGTTGATGTCTGCTACAGATAACTGAACAGTTTTAGACGACGACAGAGGTGGAGAGCCCTCGTCAGTGGCACTGATTGTAATGTTGTAATCAGACACTAGTTCACGGTCCAGTTGTCCTGTGCTCACCAGAGAATAATAGTTTTTAATTGAAGGAACCAACTTAAAAGGGACATTTTGCTGAATGGAGCAGCGGACCTGTCTGTTACTATCAGAGTCTCTGTCCTGCACGTTAATGATGCCCACCTCTGTACCAGGTGACACGTTCTCAGGGATGGGGTTAGTCAGTGATTTCAGGTATATCACTGGAGCATTATCATTTATATCTGTTATATCAATTATTAAGGTGGCATATGAAGCCAATCCTAGTCCATCTTTCGCGCTTATCTGTAATTCGTATGACGATTCTTTTTCGTAATCAATTGATCCGGCCACTGTTACCTCACCAGTCTTGGAATTCAGAGCGAAAACTTGGTTTTCATCTGAAACATCATTAAATCCATAATTTACATCACCATTGACTCCCTCATCTGCATCAGTAGCACTCACTGTGATCACCAGTGTATCTACAGGAGAGTTTTCAGGCAGACTGGCTTTATAAACGGCTTGGCTGAACACTGGTACATTATCATTAGCATCCAGTACAGTGACGTGAATGACTACTGTACCTGATCTACGAGGAGAGCCTCCATCAAATGCAGTTAGTAACAACATGAGCTCCTTTTTGTCCTCTCTGTCTAACTCTTTCTCCAAGACTAATTCGCAGTACTTTCTGCCTCCAGTTTTCATGTTGACATTTAATTTAAAATGATCATTCTGCTGAAGAGAATAGCCCTGAACACCATTTTCCCCGATGTCTCCATCGTGTGCCTCATCCAAAAGAAAACGCGCACCCTTAACCGCGGATTCCTGAATATCAAATTTCAGTTGTTCTTCTTTAAATTGAGGTGAATTGTCGTTGATATCTTGAACGCGGATATTTATTCGGTGAACCTCTAAAGGATTTTCCAGGACGAGCTCCTGTTTCAGAACACATGATGCTCTTTTCGCACAAAGACCCTCTCTGTCGATCCTTTCTTGCACCATCAATTCTCCGGTGTTCAGATTTACGTTGCAGTACTTCACACTGTTGTCCTCAGTATCAACGCGGGCATTGCGAGCCGACAGTCTGCCCGATTCCAGTCCCAGATCCTTCGCAATGTTGCCAATTACAGATCCGCGTTTCATCTCCTCCGGAATGGAGTAGCTCAAGTCCCCAAAGACGAGGTGGAGGGCGAGAAAAATAACAGCTAGGCCGCCATACAGCAAGAATCCAATAAATCCCATTGTTAGTGTTAATAAAAATCCAACAGACAGGCAACAAACTTCTGAGTACAGATCACATTTATCTCACACTAGATCAGTTATTCTGCAATAAAAACCTTTTCAGAGTACTCCAACACGAACCAGCTCACTACAAAAGCAAAGGCAGGATATACTGTCGTTGAAACAAAAGGGTGGAGAATGACTGTGTTCTCTCGTTTGCTGGTACACACTGACACCATGAGTAGTCCTCAGGTATGACAGGAGGATAGATCATTTTAGTGTATATTTAAGAAACATAAACCAAGCCTCGTCTCCTGAATGTTCAGGGGGGAAAAAAAGACATGGTATTGTTCTTGCTGTGTCTCCTTAAGGACTACTGACAGGTTTGGGTCATCAGGGAGATACAATGTGTTTACAAAAAACAAATGATCCCAGAGTGATATTCTCACACACAATTTACAGCAGATAAATATCCATTTATCTTGAGTACTGTGATGATTTTGTCAACTCAGGAGAAAAAGCATACCTGTTACACAGGTCTTAGAATGACCAAACACTACTTGACAATAGAAATCTCATAAGTTGTCTCAAGTTACCTTTGAACATAATAGTAACATAAGGTTGGTTATGTTCAATGATAATTCATCTTCCAATCACCCCACATTTGAGTGACGGTGTGGCCTCTAAATTTTAACACTAATGATTTTCTTTTTTTTTTCCGATAAACTTATCAGTCATTCCACATTCAAGACAAGTAAAGCAATTCATTCATCAAAAATAGATAAAACACCTCAACATGAAATTCAAAAAAATAATTCGACACACTGAACATGAAATTTAAGAGCAAAAAGGTGTTTAAAAAAAAAAATTAAGGTTATCTATATTTTGAAAAGTGCCACCTTCGTGACCATGCAACTATTTTTAAGCTGATTACTTCAGTAGTCTCCTCCCATGTGTGTTTGTGACAAGACAAATAAGGAGAACCATCTATTATATGATCGCTTCGTTATTGAGGTTTCGGGATGGGAAAATTTAGTTTAAAATTAGACAGGAGGAGGGATACATTGAGATCAAAAGCCACCAAACTATATCATGTTCAACAGAAACTAAAACCGTAAGCCCACAAGACACTCTTCACAGCACAGCTTAATGCTGTGCTGAATAAAAATGACAAAAGCTAAGCCCTATTTGTTGAAATAAAGAGCACCAATTAGGGAACAATAATGGACCACTGTGGACGGAAAGGGACGAGAAACAAGAAAATACCATGAGACTTCACAGACACACAAAATAATTGATCACAAACATACAAGTTACAACATCAAAGCTTAAATCAGCATTCTTTGTAAAACTCTTCAAAGAAAGCAACTAAATAGACATGTTTAAAAGCCTTTGAAGTATACTTAAAAAGCACAAGCCGTTGCAATGTAGCCACAAAGTAAAATACAAGCGTTAAGAACAGATTCCTTCTCAATTAAGAAAAACATCAAAGAGCCAGACACCTTAAGAACAAGACAAATATGGCACATCTGAGAAAAAAAAAATTAATCACTGGTGCAAAGGGGGAAGAAATCATTTCAATGCTTAGAGACAGAGCAAATTTAAATCCACTTTTAAGATCCAAGTAACTCAGAGGACTTGAAATCTTTAGACAAGAGGGATCTGAAATTACTGTGTGGTCAATTATCTACAGCTGTCCATAAAACTGAACAATGTCACAAACTATGAGCATATTTTTCAACCTTAGGAGAGTTGTCATAGTCCCCTAACTCTTCAGTAAAGTCTGTTGGACTTTTTATCAGAACCTGATGCTTATAGGTCAGCGGTGCCATCTGAAATTATCAAGACAAATTAAAAAGAGAGACCTAACTGTAAAGAGCATATGTTTCTACTATTCAGTCAACATCAGTGTGCAAATCTGGAACTAAAAAAAATATCAAAAGAGGCTGGTATGAGTTATAAGTCTAAAGTAAGAACAGATAAGTGACAATGAAGGGAAGCATCTTCAATCTTAAAGAAGAGATGCATTTTACAACTGAATGTGAATCAAATGTAAAATGAACTGTGGGAACTTTGGGAACGCAACTTTGGGAGCTTGGACAAAATTATCAGTACTAAAAATATCATTTCTCCGGGTGACAACACTCCAAGAACTACAGCCTAATGTGTTGAACTTTTCCAAAGAGTTTGGTCAAAAAGATAAATAGAAGGACAACGCAGAGAAAAAAATGCGTCTTTCTGTTTCAACATGACAAAAGGAAGTTTCAGCACCAAGGACAGAGACGACAAAAGCTAAAATTTAGCTTTACAAAACAAAGATTTCCCTAATCATACAAAGAAACAGACAAGCTCAATGTCATACCACAAAATATGCACTAATCACTTATCTTTACATTTATACTGATTTTAAGACAGAAAGCAAAAGTCCACAACGTGTTTATGGAATGAGTGTGCAGCAAAGGAGTAGGGGGAACACAGAAAAAATATTTCATCTTGTTAAAAAGAAAAAAGTGTTCAACAAAGCTGATAGCCACAAGCTGACAAACTGTGCCATAGGCAAGAGAGAGAACTGAGTACTATTAGGGTATGTTTCCTGAAAGCCGCAGGTCAGATTCCAAAAATGACCTCCAACTAGGTACACCAAAAAGATCCAACAACCTTCAAGGCCTCAAAACACAACTAAAATTATCTTATAATAAATAATTAGTATCTTTCGTAAAACTGAACAATATCACAAACTATAAGTACAGATTCCTACCTCAGGAGAGTCATCACAGTCTCCGAACACTTCTGCAAAGTCTGATGGACTTTTCCTCAGAGTCTGGTCAGCTGGCAGTGTGTTGTCATTGTACGATGACACAAACTTAAAGTCACTGGTTCGAGACCCTGTTGTCAGGTAGGCGTCATAATTGTAAGCACTGCGTAAAGTTCCTGTACCGTCAACATCTGCGTAATTAGGAGGGAGATACGCGCTGGGGATGGCCACTGCTCCGTCAAACAACAGTCTGGGCTTTCTCCTGCGACAAAACCTCACACCAAGGATGATGATGATGAAGGTCAGAAAAAACGTCGACACACACACCAGCGCGATGATCAGATAAGAGGTCAGTTTGGAGTTCTTCTCATCATAAGAAATGTCCTTCAGTTCTGGCACCTCAGCCAAGTTATCAGAAATCAGTAAATACATGGAACAGGTGGCAGACAGAGAGGGCTGCCCGTTATCTTTCACTGACACTACAAGGTTCTGTTTCATGCTGTCAGATTCGGAAATGTCCCGCTGGGTCCTGATCTCTCCGCTGTGGACACCAATAGTGAAAAGTCCCGGATCAGTGGATTTCACAATTTGATACGACAGCCAGGCGTTCTGTCCAGAGTCCGCGTCCACCGCTATCACTTTGGACACCAGAGAGCCTCCGTGTGCAGCTTTGGGGACCAGCTCGGTCATGAACGACTTGCCCTCTGGCCCGGGGTACAGGATCTGAGGAGAGTTGTCATTCACATCGGATATGAACACACTCACGGTCACGTTGCTGCTGAGAGGAGGAGAACCGTTGTCTCTGGCCATCACCTGAACTTTGAAGCTCCGGAACTGTTCATAATCAAACGACCTCACAGCGTGGATCACCCCCGTGTCTCCGTTCACTGACACATAGGAGGACACCGGGGCACCGTTCACCTCACCGCCTAACAGAGAATAAATCACTGTACCGTTCTGTCTCCAGTCGGGGTCTCGAGCACTAACGGAACATAAAGTGGAGCCAGCTTTGTTATTCTCACTCACATATGCGCTGTACGACTGCTCCTCAAACACAGGTGGGTTGTCGTTGATGTCTGCTACAGATAACTGAACAGTTTTAGACGACGACAGAGGTGGAGAGCCCTCGTCAGTGGCACTGATTGTAATGTTGTAATCAGACACTAGTTCACGGTCCAGTTGTCCTGTGCTCACCAGAGAATAATAGTTTTTAATAGAAGGAACCAACTTAAAAGGGACATTTTGAGGAATGGAGCAGCGGACCTGTCTGTTACTATCAGAGTCTCTGTCCTGCACGTTAATGATGCCCACCTCTGTACCAGGTGACACGTTCTCAGGGATGGGGTTCGTCAGTGATTTCAGGTATATCACTGGAGCATTATCATTTATATCTGTTATATCAATTATTAGGGTGGCATATGAAGCCAATCCTAGTCCGTCTTTTGCGCTTATCTGTAATTCGTATGACGATTCTTTTTCATAATCAAGTGATCCGGCCACTGTTACCTCACCAGTCTTGGAGTTCAGAGCGAAAACTTGGTTTTCATCTGAAACATCGTCAAATCCATAAGAGATGTTACCATACATTCCTTCGTCCGCATCAGTTGCACTCACTGTGATCACCAGTGTATCTACAGGAGAGTTTTCAGGCAGACTGGCTTTATAAACGGCCTGACTGAACACTGGTACATTATCATTAGCATCCAGTACAGTGACGTGTATGACGACTGTACCTGATCTACGAGGAGATCCTCCATCAAATGCAGTTAGTAACAACATGAGCTCCTTTTTGTCCTCTCTGTCTAACTCTTTCTCTAAAACCAGTTCTCCATATTTTCGTCCGCTTGCTTTCGTCTTTATATTTAATTTAAAATGATCATTCTGTTGAAGAGAATAGCCCTGAACACCATTTTCCCCGATGTCTCCATCGTGTGCCTCATCCAAGAGAAAACGCGCACCTTTATCCGCGGATTCCTGAATTTCAATTCTAAGCGACTCTTCTTTAAATTGAGGTGAATTGTCGTTGATATCTTGAACGCGAATATTTATTCGGTGCACCTCTAAAGGATTTTCCAGGACGAGCTCCTGTTTCAGAACACATGATGCTCTTTTCGCACAAAGACCCTCTCTGTCGATCCTTTCTTGAACCATTAATTCTCCGGTGTTCAGATTTACGCTGCAGTACTTCACACTGTTGTCCTCAGTATCAACGCGGGCATTGCGAGCCGACAGTCTTCCCGATTCCAGTCCCAGATCCTTCGCAATGTTGCCAATTACAGATCCACTTTTCATCTCCTCCGGAATGGAGTAGCTCACGTCCCCAAAGACGAGGTGGAGGGCGAGAAAAATAACAGCTAGGCCGCCATGCAGCATCAATCTCATAAATCCCATTGTCTCTGCTTGAAAAAAATCTTATAAAAGAGCTACTTTGGGTCAAAATATATCAACGATTATTCATTAAAGCTGAAAACACTAATCACAAACAGCTCTATATGAAACTGTTTGTCAAATGCAACACCAAAGGTCTGGCTGTAGATTCGTTTGGGCGGAAGGGTGGAGAATGTGTTTCCCTGTTTGCTAGTACACACTGACACCATGAGTATTTCTAAGGAATAACGAGAGACAGACTTTTCTTTTCTGTGCATATCAAAAAACGTATTCCGTGCCCTCATATTTTTTTATTAAACATTGAAATGTTCTTACTTTGTCAGGAGAAGAATCACCATACAGCTGTTCGGACTTTAACAGTGAGATAACAGACTGTGACATGTTCAGAGTGTCTACACTGCATTAAAAGGCACATTTTTTGACACCAAGGTCAGACAATGTTTTGTGAAACCAACCAAATAAAGTGAGTAACAGCATAGTACTGAGAAATGAACTAACTCTAAAATACATTACAACATCCAATGATGATGTTCAGCACCAAAGACAGAAAAAATAAAAGGAATATAATATAAATATATAGAATATAAAAAGAAAAGCAAACGTCCAGTGAGCATATGATGGAGTGAGAAGCTGGGCCAGAACTATTTTCAAATGCAAAGAAGTGGACCATCTTAACATGTTAGACAAGAACATGATGAGCATTCCTAAGTGATGGTGTCTCTGTGCTTGTTACAAATAGGACAAAAGGAAAAATATGTTGTTATGGTGCTACATGAAAAATTGCACTAATAAGCAAACATCAGTGTGCAAAAAGCGAACTGATGTATGAGTTATATGTTTAAAGTAAGAACAGATATCAATGATAAAGGGAACCATCTTCAAACTTAAAAAAGAAGCTGAAAAAATGCATTTTAAAATTTAATTATCAAATGTCAAATAAACTGTGGACACGAAAAGCACAATTAAAGAACTGAGAATTGTATACACAAACTAAAGGGAGCACAACTTTGGGAGCTTGAACAAAAAGGTTCAGTATAATAAAATCCAGTCATACAGGTGACTACACTCTCCAAAAACAACAGCTAAATATTTTGAACTTTGAGTTTTCACTGCAAAACGACACAAACTCTTAGTCACTGGTTAAAGACCCTGTGATCAGGTAGGCATCATAATTGTACATTCCTGAGTGCCAAGAAAAAAGAGACAAACCACAGATTAAAAAGATTAATAAAAAGACAAAAAGGGGGAAAGTGTGTGTTTAAAGGGTTTAAAGAAGAAAGGGAAAATATTTTTTTTATTTCTTATTTAAAAAAGGAATGTTAATCAAGTTTTTTTTAACACAATGCAGCTCAGCTTGAAGTCTCATGCTTTATAAACCCTCCTAAAAGTATGCAGAACAATAATGTAAAAAGACACAAACTCTCACATGTTTCAACAGGAAATCTGATTAACTGCTCATACCAGAAACTGTGTGCAGATTAGCTCATTCACTTATGACTAGTAAACACATTCAAGAAAATCAATCCATGGAGCAAAGTCAAAGTGATGGAGTCAGTGGTCCTGCAAACTTATAAATGGTCCATTAACCAAACACCTAAAGGAAAACAAACATTTCTATATAACATCCTTCATTAAACAGGGTGACCTGCATTGGAGGACAAAGTTAAAAAACCAACAAACAGAAACTTGTAGGAGCCCGAGATGATACAACTAAAGACACAGTCATTGCAAACTGCTGAATGACCACACACCTGTGATTAATACTCAATCTAATATTTTCAAAGACACTAAATATAATTGATGCATGAGTCAAGTAAGATAAAAAAAAAAGAATTTTTGGATATTCTTAATAATACAGAAAGGATTTGTTTTCTAAAATACTGTTTCCAGGGGGCAATGGAAATTCAGCACCAAGGACAGAGACAACAAAAAACATGATTTGCCCAAATCATGCGAAGACAAATTCCACGTCAAAATAACAAGATTTACATGAATCACACTTTCATCTTTAAGTTCACACTGACTTAAAAACAGAAAGCAGAAATCCACAAAATGTTTCTGGTGGGACAAGAATGGATGTGTAGCAAGGTATGGGGAACACAGGCAAAACTATTTAACCCTGCTGAACAGAAACGTAGCAAAATTGCTCATCAAAGCTAATAGCCTCATGCCTGGAAAACTCTTATACAGAGACAAAGGAGAGAACAACGTCTTGCAAACACAAATTTCCTCATGATCACAGAACAATTTCTTCAAGAGTTCCCATACTGAATAAACCAGCGTGCAACACAGCAATCATATGATATGTACTTATTTGAACTGCACAAGAGCTAATGTTGCTTCTGTTCAGATACTTTCTTCGCACTCAGCTGATAGTAAATTATATTATGAAAGCAGAGGACAGTGACATTTTCTATGTGGCCAATAAGATACAAAATGGTCCGGCAAGTTTTTGACCAGTGCTAACTCTGACTTGCTTGTGGAATGTCCTCAACTGACCAAGACCTTAAAGTATTAGGCACCAACCTGTGTTTTCGTTAGGTTCGAAACACAGAAGGGTCAGCGCTGTAAAGTTAAACACCGTCAGAAAAACTGACAATGATATTTAAAAAAGCACATTATGATACTACAGTAAAGGGACAAATGAACGAACAAGAAAAAGGCAGAATCTGAAGAAAGTATTCTTTCACTGAATTCATAATGGCAAACCAAGTTCCTTAAATCGTGTGCCGACAAAACGACAAAAACATTTAACCGTCTCTATTAATGCTATCAAATTACCTAACAAAAGAGAGATCTAACAAAATGAAGCAAATATACTGTGTCTGGCAAACATTCCTACCTCGGGAGAGTCATCGCAGTCTCCAAACACTTCAGCAAAGTCTGATGGACTTTTCCTCAGAGTCTGGTCAGCTGGCAGTGTGTTGTCATTGTACGATGACACAAACTTAAAGTCACTGGTTCGAGACCCTGTTGTCAGGTAGGCGTCATAATTGTAAGCGCTGCGTAAAGTTCCTGTGCCGTCAACATCTGCGTAATTAGGAGGGAGATACGCGCTGGGGATGGCCACTGCTCCGTCAAACAACAGTCTGGGCTTTCTCCTGCGACAAAACCTCACACCAAGGATGATGATGATGAAGGTCAGAAAAAACGTCGACACACACACCAGCGCGATGATCAGATAAGAGGTCAGTTTGGAGTTCTTCTCATCATAAGAAATGTCCTTCAGTTCTGGCACCTCAGCCAAGTTATCAGAAATCAGTAAATACATGGAACAGGTGGCAGACAGAGAGGGCTGCCCGTTATCTTTCACTGACACTACAAGGTTCTGTTTCATGCTGTCAGATTCAAAAATGTCCCGCTGGGTCCTGATCTCTCCGCTGTGGACACCAATAGTGAAAAGTCCCGGATCAGTGGATTTCACAATTTGATACGACAGCCAGGCGTTCTGTCCAGAGTCCGCGTCCACCGCTATCACTTTGGACACCAGAGAGCCTCCGTGTGCAGCTTTGGGGACCAGCTCGGTCATGAACGACTTGCCCTCTGGCCCGGGGTACAGGATCTGAGGAGAGTTGTCATTCACATCTGATATGAACACACTCACGGTCACGTTGCTGCTGAGAGGAGGAGAACCGTTGTCTCTGGCCATCACCTGAACTTTGAAGCTCCGGAACTGTTCATAATCAAAAGACCTCACAGCGTGGATCACCCCCGTGTCTCCGTTTACTGACACATAGGAGGACACCGGGGCACCGTTCACCTCACCGCCTAACAGAGAATAAATCACTGTACCGTTCTGTCTCCAGTCGGGGTCTCGAGCACTAACGGAACATAAAGTGGAGCCAGCTTTGTTATTCTCACTCACATATGCGCTGTACGACTGCTCCTCAAACACAGGTGGGTTGTCGTTGATGTCTGCTACAGATAACTGAACAGTTTTAGACGACGACAGAGGTGGAGAGCCCTCGTCAGTGGCACTGATTGTAATGTTGTAATCAGACACTAGTTCACGGTCCAGTTGTCCTGTGCTCACCAGAGAATAATAGTTTTTGATAGAAGGAACCAACTTAAAAGGGACATTTTGCTGAATGGAGCAGCGGACCTGTCTGTTACTATCAGAGTCTCTGTCCTGCACGTTAATGATGCCCACCTCTGTACCAGGTGACACGTTCTCAGGTATGGGGTTCGTCAGTGATTTCAGGTATATAACCGGAGCGTTGTCGTTTATATCTGTTATATCAATTATGACTTTGGCATATGAGGTCAATCCCAAGCCATCTTTCGCTGTGACACGCAGTTCATACGATGTCGCCATTTCAAAATCAACTGCTCTTTTTAATTGTATTTCCCCTGTCTTATGATCAATGGCGAATATTGACCCCATATCTTCTGAGATGTGTCCAAAATCATATATAACATCCCCATTTAATCCCTCATCTGCATCAGTAGCGCTCACTGCTAGAACAATGGTATCCAGTGGAGAATTTTCAGGCAGACTGGCTTTGTAAACGGCCTGGCTGAACACTGGTACATTATCATTAGCATCCAGTACAGTGACGTGAATAACTACTGTACCTGATCTCTGAGGAGAGCCTCCATCCAGAGCTGTAAGGAGCAGATTCATTTCTTTCACATTTTCACGGTCAAGCTCATGGTTAAGAACGAGCTCCACAGAACTTGTTCCAACGCCCAGAACAAAATTATCATTCTTTTGGAGGCTGTAGGTCTGAACTGAATATTTACCGACGTCCGCGTCATGTGCTTCCTCTATTGGAAAACGAGCTCCCTTATCTGCCGATTCACTGATATCTATTTGGATCAACTCCTTGTTAAACTGTGGTGAATTATCGTTTATATCCTGCACATGTAGACTAATCCTGTGCAGTTCCAACGGATTCTCTAACATCAGTTCCTGTTTCAAAACGCAGGATGCTTTGTCTCCACAAAGGCCCTCTCTGTCGATTCTCTCTGCAAGAATTAGATCCCCATTATGGAGGTTTATGTCACAAAAACGTTTATCGCTCTCCTCAGTGTCAATGCGGGCCTTTCGGGTCGATAGTCCGTTCTTTTGGAGACCTAATTCCTTAACAATGTTTCCGATCACAGATCCGCGTTTCATCTCCTCCGGAAAAGAATAGCTGATATCTCCATTGGTGACATGAAGAGAGAACAGCACCAAGCCGAGGGCAAAGCGTTGTAATCCTAGCATCGTGAAAGCCATCACCAACCCGAACTGGAATAGTAAATACTTCTTAGTGCAGGAAAAATGTCCGAAAAAAGGACTTCAACCAACAACAAGGAGCCCGTGCCTCTCTGGACGATCAACTACAGCACCTTCAGTGATTATAGGTTGGTAACAGTGGGTGGATGTCGACACACCATGTATTACAGCTGGTGCACAGCGACATCGTGAGTCTCCTCTAGAGACTGCATACTGCAACAAACAGCATGTATGCAAACTGCATATCTTTAAACAACCGCACAACAACAGCAGGACGAGTACGTTTGTTTCAAGGATATATAATGTAACAAAAAGAGTTCAGACATGTTAGGAAGATCAAACAAAAACGGTCCTTTCAAAACTAACAGATTTCAAGTACTTACACCCCAAAAAACGGAAGACAATAAAGTGAGTTTTCTCAACACTATTTCAGTTTTGCACAAGCTCTCAAATGTTTCCAACAACCAGAATATTTGGCAAAAACCCAGAGACTTGACAGCAAAAACCACCTGAAACATCCAAAGTGAACATTAATTCACAAAAGAGGAAATAAAATATGCATTTATGGAAAAATCTGAAATTTCAAGAGCTAGATTCCATTTTACCAAGAAACCAACATAGATATTACACTCGTAATTATCATAGGAATCTACAGCATGTACACTATCTGAACTACGGGGGGGGGGGGGGGCTAAATACATGGCAGACAACACCACAAACCCCTGACAGAATTGAGCTTTATATAATTTACAGAGTATGGATCATGTAAAACTGAAAAAGTCCTTTTATAGCTTTGAAAGCTTGACACTAAAAACTAGCATCAGGTTCTTTGTTTTAAATTATGAAAGGGCCACAGGACTGTGATTTCAGGAAGCGGATCTTAAAAATTTTGCATTTTTAACAATGTAGGAGAAATGCAGAGTGAATATGTAGTGTAATCTGAGAAAAAAAATCAACTAAAAATCAGTCCTTCAGGTGATCACTACCTTAAGTGGCTATTAAAGAAAGCCAAATGATATTTTGTCAGAATTTGTCAACAAAGCTGATGACAAATATCCAGAATAAGTCTCCCACTGTTGTTGTGTGAGGGAAAAAGTAGGAAAGAGGAAGGGAGGGAAAGAAAGATATACAGATGTGAAAAGTTCCAAAATAGCTAAGGCTTTAAAAGGAAATACACAAAACGAAGTAAATGACACTTCAATGGGCCTCTCCAACATCAAAAGAAAACCTTACAAATATTGCAGATGAGAAGAGTCATTTGCATTGGATACAGTCAAGATTAAAAAAAAATCGACAAGTTACTGCAGTCAATCCACTGCAATCAGATTTACCATAAACTCAGAAAGTACTGTTAAATAATCAGATACCTACACAAACTAAATGTATTTGTTCGTATTTCAGGTGAGTCGGCATAGTCACCAAACACTTCAGCAAAGTCCTTCAAGCTTTTCTTTGAGTCTGGTCAACAGGTACTGTGCTGTCATTGTTTGATGACACAAACTTATAGTCACTGGTTTAAGACTCTGTTGTCAGATAAAATAATAACCATAAGCCTGAGCAGGCATGAAACAGTGTTGAGCATACCACTGCAGAGTTAATAGATCCATACAAAAAGGGGTAAACTTCGTGTTTTGGAAGCTGTCTTTTTTTAAGAAGGGATGCCACCTAGGGTCTTATAAGGTACACTGTAGATAACAGCTCATGGCTTTGATTGGTGCAACTTCATAAAAACTGAAAAAAAACAACAACACCAAAGACACATAACAAATCTCTCATTATTCAACAGAGACTGTAGAGAATTGCTTGTTGAAGACACTTCTGCATCACAGCAAACCTGTTACTTCATCAAAAATAATCAGATTACTGCTGCAAAAATTATGCAAATATTCTTGTCTTAATTGTCCAACTGTGACTTCCAATATAACTTAAAGCACTGAACGTATACTTTTTCAATGAAAAACAAATTACAATCTCAGAAAAGCAAAGATTTAAAGACAAGAACAATAAAGACTGATGGTATGTGTCCTGGAAAACTTGCTCAAGTAAGAAACTGGGTTTCAGAACCAAGGACAGAGATAAAAAGAAAAAAAAAGTTCTACACAGAAAAAAAAAACAGCCAACTCAAGCAAAGCAGAGGAAACTCACAAATAAACGACAAACCTAAAAATTTACATTAAAAACGGACTGTTAAAGTGTGAAGTGTTGGATTACAACACGCTCTTGTATCAAACTGTCTTGCAAGGTTTCCTACCTCAGGAGAGTCGTCACAGTCTCCAAACACTTCTGCAAAGTCTGATGGGCTTTTCCTCAGAGTCTGGTCAGCTGGCAGTGTGTTGTCATTGTACGATGACACAAACTTAAAGTCACTGGTTCGAGACCCTGTTGTCAGGTAGGCGTCATAATTGTAAGCGCTGCGTAAAGTTCCTGTGCCGTCAACATCTGCGTAATTAGGAGGGAGATACGCGCTGGGGATGGCCACTGCTCCGTCAAACAACAGTCTGGGCTTTCTCCTGCGACAAAACCTCACACCGAGGATGATGATGATGAAGGTCAGAAAAAACGTCGACACACACACCAGCGCGATGATCAGATAAGAGGTCAGTTTGGAGTTCTTCTCATCATAAGAAATGTCCTTCAGTTCTGGCACCTCAGCCAAGTTATCAGAAATCAGTAAATACATGGAACAGGTGGCAGACAGAGAGGGCTGCCCGTTATCTTTCACTGACACTACAAGATTCTGTTTCATGCTGTCAGATTCAGAAATGTCCCGCTGGGTCCTGATCTCTCCACTGTGGACACCAATAGTGAAAAGTCCCGGATCAGTGGATTTCACTATCTGATACGACAGCCAAGCGTTCTGTCCAGAGTCCGCGTCCACCGCTATCACTTTGGACACCAGAGAGCCTCCGTGAGCAGCTTTGGGGACCAGCTCGGTCATGAACGACTTGCCCTCTGGTCCGGGGTACAGGATCTGAGGAGAGTTGTCATTCACATCTGATATGAACACACTCACGGTCACGTTGCTGCTGAGAGGAGGAGAACCGTTGTCTCTGGCCATCACCTGAACTTTGAAGCTCCGGAACTGTTCATAATCAAACGACCTCACAGCGTGGATCACCCCCGTGTCTCCGTTCACGGACACATAGGAGGACACCGGGGCACCGTTCACCTCACCGCCTAACAGAGAATAAATCACTGTACCGTTCTGTCTCCAGTCGGGGTCTCGAGCACTCACGGAACATAAAGTGGAGCCAGCTTTGTTATTCTCACTCACATATGCGCTGTACGACTGCTCCTCAAACACAGGTGGGTTGTCGTTGATGTCTGCTACAGATAACTGAACAGTTTTAGACGACGACAGAGGTGGAGAGCCCTCGTCAGTGGCACTGATTGTAATGTTGTAATCAGACACTAGTTCACGGTCCAGTTGTCCTGTGCTCACCAGAGAATAATAGTTTTTAATTGAAGGAACCAACTTAAAAGGGACATTTTGCTGAATGGAGCAGCGGACCTGTCTGTTACTATCAGAGTCTCTGTCCTGCACGTTAATGATGCCCACCTCTGTACCAGGTGACACGTTCTCAGGTATGGGGTTAGTCAGTGATTTCAGGTAAATTACCGGAGCATTATCATTCACATCAGTAATATCAATAATTACTTTGGCATATGAAGCCAAACCCAAGCCATCTTTCGCTGTGACACGCAGTTCAAACGATGTCGTTGTTTCAAAATCAACTGCTCTTTTTAATTGTATTTCTCCTGTCTTATGATCAATGGCAAATATCGACCTCATATCTTCTGAGATGTGTCCAAAATCATATGTAACATCTCCATTCAATCCCTCATCTGCATCAGTAGCGCTAACTGCTAGAACAATGGTATCCAGTGGAGAGTTTTCAGGCAGACTGGCTTTGTAAACGGCCTGACTGAACACTGGTTTATTATCATTAGCATCCAGTACAGTGACGTGAATAACTACTGTACCTGATCTCTGAGGAGAGCCTCCATCCAGAGCTGTAAGGAGCAGATTCATTTCTTTCACATTTTCACGGTCAAGCTCATGGTTAAGAACGAGCTCCACAGAGTTTGTTTCAACGCTAAGAACAAAATTATCATTCTTTTGGAGGCTGTAGGTCTGAACTGAATATTTACCGACGTCCGCGTCGTGTGCTTCCTCGATTGGAAAACGGGCTCCCTTCACTGCCGATTCTCTGATATCTATTTGGATCAATTCTTTACTGAACTGCGGAGAGTTATCGTTTATATCCTGCACATGTAGACTAATCCTGTGCAATTCTAACGGATTCTCTAACATCAGTTCCTGTTTCAAAACGCAGGATGCTTTGTCTCCACAAAGGCCCTCTCTGTCGATTCTCTCTGCAAGAATTAGATCCCCATTATGGAGGTTTATGTCACAAAAACGTTTATCGCTCTCCTCAGTGTCAATTCGGGCCTTTCGGGTCGATAGTCCGTTCGTTTGGAGACCTAATTCCTTAACAATATTTCCGATCACAGATCCGCGTTTCATCTCCTCCGGAAAAGAATAGCTGATATCTCCATTGGTGACATGAAGAGAGAACAGCACCAAGCCGAGGGCAAAGCGTTGTAATCCTAGCATCGTGAAAGCCATCACCAACCCGAACTGGAATAGTAAATACTTCTTAGTGCAGGAAAAATGTCCGAAAAAAGGACTTCAACCAACAACAAGGAGCCTGTGTCTCTCTGGGCGATCAACTACATCACCTTCAGTGATTATAGGTTGGTAATAGTGGGTGGATGTCGACACACCATGTACTACAGCTGGTGCACAGCGACATCGTGAGTCTCCTCTAGAGACTGCATACTGCAACAAACAGCATGTATGCAAACTGCACATCTTTAAACAACCGCACAACAACAGCAGGACGAGTACGCTTGTTTCAAGGATATATAATGTTACAAAAAGTGTTCAGACATGTTAGGAAGATCAAACAAAAACGGTCCTTTCAAAACTAACAGATATGGAACCAAAAAAACGCAAAACAATTAAGTGACTTATCTCAACATCGCTTCAGTTTTGCACAAGCTCTCAAATGTTTCCAACAACCAGAAGTTTTGGCAAAACCCAGAGGCTTAACAGCAAAAATCAACTGAAACATCCAAAGTGAACATTAATTCACAAAAGAGAAAATGAAATATGCACTTATGGAAAAATCTGAAAATTCACATTTAATGGTAACTGAAACAACTAGATTTCATATTTACCACGAAACCATCATAGATCCTTCACTAGTTAATATCATAGGAATCTACAGCATGTACACTATCTGAACTACAGAAGAAGGGGGGGGGGGGGGGGGGCTAAATACATGAACGACAAAAGCCATAAATCCCTGACAGAAATGAACTTAATATAAATCACAAAGTATGGATCATTCAATACTGAAAAAATGCCTTTATAGCTTTGAAAACTTGACACTAAAAACTAGCATCAGGTTTATTGTTTTCAAATTCTGAAGGTGGTCGTATGACCGTGATTTCAGTAAGTGGATCTTCAAAACTGTGCATTTTTGACAATGTAGGAGGAATACAGAATGATAATAGGCCTTTATGTGATCTTAAAACAATCAATTAACTATCATATCTTTAGGTGGTTACTGTGGCTATTAAAAAAGCCCCCCAAAAAGTCAGAATTTGTCAATAAAACTGATGACAAATATCGAGAATAAGTCTCTCACTGTTGTTGTGTGAGGTAAAGAGCACAGAGGAAAGAACAATGAAGGGAAAAAAAGACATAGGGATGGGAAAAAGTTCAAAAATGGCAAAGGCTTTGAAGAACATACACCAAACTAAGTAATCAACTTAAATGGGGCTTTTTTGCATCATAATAATTGCCTCAAGCTTTGTAAAAACTTAACAAACTTTGCAGACGAGGAGAGTCATTTCCTGTGAATATAGTCAAGATAAAAAAAACAACTTTGAAAAATTACTGCAGTAAATCCACTGCAATCAGATTTACCCTAAACTCATAAAGTGCCATTAGATAACAGATACTTACACAAACTAACTGTATCTGTTCGTACTTCAGGTGAGTCAGCATAGTCACCAAACACTCCAGCAAAGTCCTTTGGGCTTTTCTTTGAGTCTGGTCAGTGGGTACTGTGCTGTCATTATTTGATGACACAAACTTAAAGTCAATGGTTTAAGACTCTGTTGTCAGATAAGATTAATAACCATAAGCCTGAGCAGGCATGAAACAGTGTTGAGCATACCATTGCAGAGTTAATCAATAAATAAAAAAATGGGGTAAACTTCCTGTTTCAGAAGCTGTCTTTTTTTAAGAAGGGATGCCACCAAGGGTCTTATAAGGTACACTGTATATAACAGCTCAAGGCTTTGATCGGTAAAACTTCATAAAAACTGAACTACAACACCAAAGACACATAACAAATCTCTCATGATTCAACAGAGACTGTAGTGAATTGCTTATTGAAGACACTTCGGCATCACAGCAAACCTGTTACTTCATCAAAAATAATCAGATTACTGCTGCAAACATTGTGCAAATATTCTTGTCTTAACTTTCAAACCATGACTTCCAATATAATTTAAAGCACTGAATGTATACTTTTTCAATGAAAAACAAATTATAATCTCAGAAAAGCAAAGATTTAAAGACAAGAACAATAAAGACTGATGGTATATGCCATGGAAAACTTGCTCAAGTAAGAAACTGGGTTTCAGCACCAAGGACAGAGATTTAGAAAAAAGTTCTACACGAAAACAACAGCCAACTCTAGCAAAACAGAGAAAACACACAATTAAAAGACCAACCTGAAAATTTACATTAAAAACGGACTGTTAAAGTGTTAAGTGTTGTATTACAACAAGCTTGAGGGTGGAGACTCAAATGACAAAATAAAGTATCGTTACCTACATGAAACACTTCCTGAATCAAAGCTTGAGGCCATATGCCCACAAAGTGAAACGAGGTGAACTGTGGTTTCCTTTTAAAATATCTCTGTTACCTATCTAACAAAGTACTCATGTATCAAACTGTGTCTGGCAAACATTCCTACCTCAGGAGAGTCATCACAGTCTCCAAACACTTCAGCAAAGTCTGATGGACTTTTCCTCAGAGTCTGGTCAGCTGGCAGTGTGTTGTCATTGTACGATGACACAAACTTAAAGTCACTGGTTCGAGACCCTGTTGTCAGGTAGGCGTCATAATTGTAAGCGCTGCGTAAAGTTCCTGTACCGTCAACATCTGCGTAATTAGGAGGGAGATAAGCGCTGGGGATGGCCACTGCTCCGTCAAACAACAGTCTGGGCTTTCTCCTGCGACAAAACCTCACACCAAGGATGATGATGATGAAGGTCAGAAAAAACGTTGACACACACACCAGCGCGATGATCAGATAAGAGGTCAGTTTGGAGTTCTTCTCATCATAAGAAATGTCCTTCAGTTCTGGCACCTCAGCCAAGTTATCAGAAATCAGTAAATACATGGAACAGGTGGCAGACAGAGAGGGCTGCCCGTTATCTTTCACTGACACTACAAGGTTCTGTTTCATGCTGTCTGATTCAGAAATGTCCCGCTGGGTCCTGATCTCTCCACTGTGGACACCAATGGTGAAAAGTCCAGGATCAGTGGATTTCACTATTTGATACGACAGCCAGGCGTTCTGTCCAGAGTCCGCGTCCACCGCTATCACTTTGGACACCAGAGAGCCTCCGTGTGCAGCTTTGGGGACCAGCTCGGTCATGAACGACTTGCCCTCTGGTCCGGGGTACAGGATCTGAGGAGAGTTGTCATTCACATCTGATATGAACACACTCACGGTCACGTTGCTGCTGAGAGGAGGAGAACCGTTGTCTCTGGCCATCACCTGAACTTTGAAGCTCCGGAACTGTTCATAATCAAACGACCTCACAGCGTGGATCACCCCCGTGTCTCCGTTCACGGACACATAGGAGGACACCGGGGCACCGTTCACCTCACCGCCTAACAGAGAATAAATCACTGTACCGTTCTGTCTCCAGTCGGGGTCTCGAGCACTAACGGAACATAAAGTGGAGCCAGCTTTATTATTCTCACTCACATATGCGCTGTACGACTGCTCCTCAAACACAGGTGGGTTGTCGTTGATGTCTGCTACAGATAACTGAACAGTTTTAGACGACGACAGAGGTGGAGAGCCCTCGTCAGTGGCACTGATTGTAATGTTGTAATCAGACACTAGTTCACGGTCCAGTTGTCCTGTGCTCACCAGAGAATAATAGTTTTTAATAGAAGGAACCAACTTAAAAGGGACATTCTGCTGAATGGAGCAGCGGACCTGTCTGTTACTATCAGAGTCCCTGTCCTGCACGTTAATGATGCCCACCTCTGTTCCAGGTGACACGTTCTCAGGTATGGGGTTAGTCAGTGATTTCAGGTATATCACAGGAGCATTGTCATTCACATCAGTAATATCAATAATTACTTTGGCGTCAGACGAAAGTCCATAACCATCTTTGGCATTGATTCGCATTTCATATCTTGAATTACTCTCAAAATCAAGTGCTCCTTTGACTTTTATCTCTCCAGTTTTACTGTTCAATGAAAACACCTTTTGGGCCCTATCTGATATTCGGCTGAACTCATAGGTCACCTCTCCATTAACTCCCTCGTCTGCATCAGTGGCACTTACTTTTAACACTACAGTATCAAAAGAAGAATTTTCAGGTAGGCTAGCTTTGTAAACTGCCTGGTCAAATAAAGGGGAGTTATCATTAGCATCAAGCACAGTCACATGTATGCTGGCTGTTCCTGATTTCTGTGGGTTTCCACCATCAACAGCAACCAGCAAAAGATTCAAATCGTTTTCTTTTTCACGGTCCAGCTCTTTGTCCAAAACCAACTCAACGTTCTTTGATCCATCTGTGTCGTCTCGAACAGATAAAATAAAGTGTTCATTGTTTTCTAAATTGTATTGTTGGACTGCATTTTGTCCGACATCAGCGTCATGTGCTTCACTCAAACGATAGCGAGCTCCTTTGTCTGCCGATTCGCGTATTTCAAGCTTCACTGTATCCTTTTGGAAAAAAGGCGAATTGTCGTTTACATCCAAGATGAGAAGTGTAATGCGGTGTAGCTCCAACGGGCTCTCGAGTAATAATTCAAATTTTAACATACACGATACCTTCTCCCCGCACAGCTCCTCCCTGTCGATGCGCTCTCGAGTAACAAAATTGCCTGTTTTTACGTCAATGTCACAGTAATGTTGGTAGCTTTCCTCTGCATCGATACGGGCTCTACGAGTGAGTAATTTCCCAGGGTCTAGGCCGAGGTCCTTGCCAATATTTCCAACAATAGATCCGGGCCTCATCTCCTCCGGAATAGAATAGCTGAGGTCTGCAATGGTGATGTGCACGAAAAAAGAGAGGCAGCACAGAAAGAACAACCGAGGCTTCCTCCTGAGGTCCATGTTTTTCACTTCTCGAAAAAGGATCAAAACTGTTGGTTTTACTTTTCACGTATACAACCTAAACCAAGCGGTGAAAGGAATATGAACCTCCGTGGAACGACGGCAGCCTTGGTTAGAAAGCTACGATGACTCCTTCTGCAGTGGGTGGAGAATTTTACTGTCTCACATCCGCGAGTGAGCAGCGACGCCGTGAGTGAATTTGGGATACTGCAAAACAAACAACTACTGGACCCATAAAGTTATATCAGACAGTTCAAATACCAACACCACTGCCACTACTTCACAGTTAAGACGTTAAATTAAATGATCTGGTAGGGATGTTCGAAGTTTGGCTTAATGAGAGCCAAAATGGAACAGATATTTCAGCACCATGGACAGCGTTTGAGTTCTTTAACGTAGACTCAAAGATTTATCCTAATATTTACAAAAGAAAGTGACGGGACAGACTGAACGAGGAATACATATATTTTATATATTTAAAGTGTTAATGGACGTACCACAAGATTTGTGACCTGAAAAGTTACAGCACGTGCTTTGGTACCGTAAGGAAACTGGAAAATTACTGATCTTGTTTACAAATACTCTGTGGACTAAAGTGTAAAAAAATATATATTCTTTGAACTGTGAATCATTTAACAACAAGTGACGGAAACATCAATGGGTATTATATTTTAGCAGTCTTTTCGGGAGATACAAACACACCATTCAACTCTGCATCAAATTTAAGCGAGGTATTAAGGTGTCACACTATAGCATGGACTTGTTTAGCTGGTTGCTCCGTCTGTGTCATTGGCGACAAAAAAAAAGACTCTCGGCTGTCAAAAACAAAAACATTGGAACATTAATCGACATTGAAAGACAATGTTAGCTATTCTTGTTTCCTAAAATATAAGGCACGTTTTAATTCTACAGTTGTGCCCTTCTTTTTAAAACTAATAACTGTAGCTACATATATGTGAACTCCGATATTATTTGTCTTGGTGGTTTCATGTTAACATGACTATGTTTATTGGGTGTGATTTTCATAAAAGCTTTTTAAAGGTTTCTATCGCACCCTTACATAATCTGTTGTATTTTTAATTACCTTATATTGTACAGTGTGTCAAGGAATCATCAATAAAACTGGCTAGTAACTTTCCCATCTAAGAACACCATTTAATTTCTTTTTTCTTTTGCCTTTTTCATATAAATGACAGGTAAGAGCAATTCCACGGCCGTGTTACAATAACACACTGACGATAATGCACTATTGGTAAAGATGATGGGTGAGTGATCTTTAAGCAAAAAGAGTATAAGAACACGAAATAACATCGACAAATTGCGGTGACTGAACGGTGATAAACAAAGCAAAAAAAAGGGGGGGGGGGGGGGGGGTTCCTTAAATATTGTCAACCAATCATCAAAAGCAGACCAAATTTTAAAAAACAATTTTAAATTATTAAGTATTCTATAAATGTTCTCTTCTTCATGTTTCATGCTTGAAGATTACAGGAACTTATACAAATACTGGATATCAGCAAAATGAAAGGTGACTGCAAAAGATTAAAACCTCAAACGCACACAAAAGGAGAATGTGTGAATGAAACAACGCTTGATCACGAGTGGATACTCATGGCACTGGTACAAAGGCTAATAAATACAACTCTAAAATAAGTATCACGGTATACATAAATTATTACTGGTTAGATACAACTGAAGGAAACATCGACACTTTCAGGCTTGAAGAGAAGAGTTTTTAACACAATCCACAAAAAAACACAAAAAAAAATCTTCTGAATGGTATAAGTGAATACATGAAACTATCTCAAACTTTCGAGATAACCACATGACACTATATTTAGCAAGTGTTCCTACCTCAGGAGAGTCGTCACAGTCTCCAAACACTTCAGCAAAGTCTGATGGACTTTTCCTCAGAGTCTGGTCAGCTGGCAGTGTGTTGTCATTGTACGATGACACAAACTTAAAGTCACTGGTTCGAGACCCTGTTGTCAGGTAGGCGTCATAATTGTAAGCGCTGCGTAAAGTTCCTGTGCCGTCAACATCTGCGTAATTAGGAGGGAGATACGCGCTGGGGATGGCCACTGCTCCGTCAAACAACAGTCTGGGCTTTCTCCTGCGACAAAACCTCACACCAAGGATGATGATGATGAAGGTCAGAAAAAACGTTGACACACACACCAGCGCGATGATCAGATAAGAGGTCAGTTTGGAGTTCTTCTCATCATAAGAAATGTCCTTCAGTTCTGGCACCTCAGCCAAGTTATCAGAAATCAGTAAATACATGGAACAGGTGGCAGACAGAGAGGGCTGCCCGTTATCTTTCACTGACACTACAAGGTTCTGTTTCATGCTGTCAGATTCAGAAATGTCCCGCTGGGTCCTGATCTCTCCACTGTGGACACCAATAGTGAAAAGTCCCGGATCAGTGGATTTCACTATTTGATACGACAGCCAGGCGTTCTGTCCAGAGTCCGCGTCCACCGCTATCACTTTGGACACCAGAGAGCCTCCGTGTGCAGCTTTGGGGACCAGCTCGGTCATGAACGACTTGCCCTCTGGCCCGGGGTACAGGATCTGAGGAGAGTTGTCATTCACATCTGATATGAACACACTCACGGTCACGTTGCTGCTGAGAGGAGGAGAACCGTTGTCTCTGGCCATCACCTGAACTTTGAAGCTCCGGAACTGTTCATAATCAAACGACCTCACAGCGTGGATCACCCCCGTGTCTCCGTTCACTGACACATAGGAGGACACCGGGGCACCGTTCACCTCACCGCCTAACAGAGAATAAATCACTGTACCGTTCTGTCTCCAGTCGGGGTCTCGAGCACTAACGGAACATAAAGTGGAGCCAGCTTTGTTATTCTCACTCACATATGCGCTGTACGACTGCTCCTCAAACACAGGTGGGTTGTCGTTGATGTCTGCTACAGATAACTGAACAGTTTTAGACGACGACAGAGGTGGAGAGCCCTCGTCAGTGGCACTGACTGTAATGTTGTAATCAGACACTAGTTCACGGTCCAGTTGTCCTGTGCTCACCAGAGAATAATAGTTTTTAATTGAAGGAACCAACTTAAAAGGGACATTTTGAGGAATGGAGCAGCGGACCTGTCTGTTACTATCAGAGTCTCTGTCCTGCACGTTAATGATGCCCACCTCTGTACCAGGTGACACGTTCTCAGGTATGGGGTTAGTCAGTGATTTCACGTATATCACTGGAGCGTTATCGTTTATGTCAGTGACATCAATTAATAGGGTTGCATATGAAATCAGTCCTAGACCATCTTTCGCACTTATCTGTAATTCATATGACGATTCTTTTTCATAATCGATGTTACCAGCTACTGTCACTTCTCCGGATTTAGAGTCTAAAGTAAATATGTTGTTGTCATCTGAAACATCATCGAATCCATATGTGATTTCACTGTTTGAACCCTCGTCTGCATCAGTAGCACTCACTGTGATCACCAGTGTATCTACAGGAGAGTTTTCAGGCAGACTGGCTTTATAAACGGCCTGACTGAACACTGGTACATTATCATTAGCATCCAGTACAGTGACGTGAATGACGACTGTACCTGATCTACGAGGAGATCCTCCATCAAATGCAGTTAGTAACAACTTGAGCTCTTGTGTGACCTCTCTGTCTAATTCTTTATCTAACACCAGTTCACCATATTTTCGCCCACCTCCTTTCGTGTGTACATTTAATTTAAAATGATCATTCTGCTGAAGAGAATAGCCCTGTACTGCATTTTCCCCGATGTCTCCATCGTGTGCCTCTCCCAGAAGGAAACGCGCACCCTTGTCCGCGGATTCACGAATTTCAAATTTTAGTTGTTCTTCTTTAAATTGAGGTGAATTATCGTTGATATCTTGAACGCGGATATTTATTCGGTGCACCTCTAAAGGATTTTCCAGGACGAGCTCTTGTTTCAGAACACATGATGCTCTTTTCGCACAAAGACCCTCTCTGTCGATCCTTTCTTGCACCATTAATTCTCCGGTGTTCAGATTCACGCTGCAGTACTTCACACTGTTGTCCTCAGTATCAACGCGGGCATTGCGAGCCGACAGTCTTCCCGATTCCAGTCCCAGATCCTTCGCAATATTTCCAATAACAGATCCGCGTTTCATCTCCTCCGGAATGGAGTAGCTCACGTCCCCGAAGACGAGGTGGAGGGCGAGAAAAATAACAGCTAGGCCGCCATGCAGCATGAATCCAATAAATCCCATCGTTAGTGTCAATAAAAATCCAACAGACGGGCAAAAAAAACCTTAGTACAGATCACATTTACCTCACACTAGATTCTGCGATGAAAACCTTTTTACAGTTCTCCAACACGAACAAGCTCACTACAAAAGCACAGACAGGATATACTGTCGTTGAAACAAAAGGGTGGAGAATGACTGTGTTCTCTCGTTAGCTAGTACACACTGACACCATGAGTGAGCTTCAGGCATGACAGCAAGATAGATCTTTTCTGTGCATATTTAAGAAACATCCACCAACCCCGTCTCCTCAATGTTCAGGGGAAAACAAAGACATGTTATCGTTCTCGCTGTGTCTCCTGAAGGACTACTGGCAGTTTTGGGACATCGGGGACATACGATGTGTTTACAAGCACAAACTATCAAAGAGTGATATTCTCACACACAATTTACAGCAGATAAAAATCCATTTACCATGAGTACTGTGATGATTTTGTCAACTCAGAAGAAAAAGCATACCTCTTACACAGGTCTTAGTATGAGCAAACACTGCGTGAGGAAAGAAATTTTCACATCACATCTTGACACACTACTTTGTCAATAAAGAGGAAAAACTTAATAATTTCAATTAAATGTGAACAATCACTGAAACCAAACTAAAGAAGTAGGATGTAAAGACTATAAGCAGATAGACAGTAGTGATTCCAAAGCATCACAAACTGAAAAGGGTTCAGCATCAATGGAAGAGAGTTTATCATGTATTTTTTTGCCTCTTGCTCATGTTTGGTGAGAAAATACTTCGCAAGATCAAATAAGCAAAAGGAATTTATTCACCAAATATATATTCACAGGCACCACAACATGAAATCAGTATCAAAAACATTAATAGACTCACTAGACAGATAGTCAAAGAGCAAATGCTGAAAAATATCTTTTAAAAACTGAATAAGGTCAACTATAACTACACAATGCCAACTAAGTGACCATACAACTATAGTCAAGCTGATTACTTCAGGAGTCTGTCCCCACATATATCTGTGACAAGACAAAATAGGAGAATCATCCATCATATGATTTCTTTGTTTTTGAGGTTTTAGGATGGAAAAACTTAGTTCAAAATTATACAGGAGGAGGGATACATTGATAATAAAAGGCACCAAACTACTTCATGTTCAATAGAATCTCAAACCTTAAGCCCATAAGACACTCTTAACAGCACAGCTTAATGCTGTGCTGAATAAAAATTACAAAAGCCTATAATAAACTGTAAAAATAGAAACAAAATAGCTCACATTCACAATGAATTGCTCACATTTTTAAGAAAATGTCTCCAGCACAGTTAGCCGGTGAATAATTGACAGGCTAGTAAAAAGAATTAAATTAACTGAGAAGACTTAAGTTGATGGAGTCAGATTTAACCATGAAAAAGGGAAAGAAGAAACTAGTCGTACACACTGAGGGAGACTTTACATTTCACAAACTAAGCACTTAATGAACTGTTGATCACTGTAAACTAAAAGAACACCTCTGTACCTCTATCAAGAACTGACCATCTCACTGAAAGGGAAGAGACTGAACCATGTTTTACAAATGTTCTTACCTCAGGACAGTTATGTCTGTGTCTCTAATCACATCAGGAAGGTTATTACATGTTATTACACTGAAAAGTGGGAGAATGCCAAGACAAGAACAACTGACAAAGACAGGAAAATGACTTCTTGCCTCGAGAACAAATATCCTCTAAATTCATTTCACTGCATCATTGCCTTATCTGCAAGTTGAGTGGTCTCTTTTGTGCTACATTATTGCATCCATGTTTATGGACTACTATTACTTAAAATACATTTGCTTTTGAAAAATAAAATAGAATAAAATAAAATCTTTCATCTGTAATGATGAGCACACATTTAAAATCAAAATGGAGCATCAGCACCAAGGATAGAAATCCAAAAATACGAGTTTCAGATCTGAACAAGATACAAAAAGTGCAGAGTACAAAACATTCATCATGAGATGAACAGGGAAATTTCCAAAACAGATTTATCTGGAAAATTATCCAAACACTAAAGAATATATATTTATATTAAGTTCTACTTTTTTTTTAAATAAAGAGCACCAATTATGGAACAATAATGGAGCACTGTGGATGGAGAGGGACGAGAAACCAGAAAATACCATGAGACTTCAAAGACACAAAATAATTAATCACAAACATACAAGATACAACATCAAAGCTTAAAGCAGCATTCTTTGTAAAACTCTTTAAAGACAGCAACTAAGTGGCACATTTGAAAGTCTTTGAAGTATACTTAAAAAAAAACAAGCCTTTGAAATCTCAATATAGCCACAAAGTAAAATAAAATCTTTCAGAGCAGGTACCTTCTCAATCAAGGAAAAACATCAAAGAGCCAGACACCTTTAGGACAAGACAACTATGGCACATCTGAGAAAAACGTGTTTTCTTTAATCACTGTTGCAAAAGGGGGAAAAAATCATTTCAATGCTTCGAGAAAAAGCAAATTTAAATCCCCCTTTAAGACAGTAAATTTGAAATTACTGTCTACAGCTGTCCATAAAACTGAACAATGTCACAAACAATGAGCACATGTTTCTACCTCAGGAGAGTCGTCATAGTCCCCTAACTCTTCAGTAAAGTCTGTTGGACTTTTCATCAGAACCTGATGCTGATAGGTCAGCGGTGTCATCTGAAATTATCAAAACAAATTAAAAACAGAGACCTAACTGTAAAGAGCACACATTATTACTATTCAGTCAACATCAGTGTGCAAATCTGGAACTAAAAAAAGATATCAAAAGAGGCTGGGATATACGAGTTATAAGTCTATTGTAAGAACAGGTAAGCAACAATGAAGGGAAGCATCTTCAATCTTAAAGAAGAGATAAATATCATTTTACCATTGAAAACTGAAGCATGATTAAAGAACCAAGAGAGTATACACAAACCACATAGAGCAAAACTTTGGGAGTTTGAACAAACAATTCAGTTCTAAAAAATGTCATTTCTCTGGATGAAAACAGTCTCCAAAAACTACAGCCAAATCATTTGAACTTTTCCACAGAGTTTGGTCAAAGATAAACACAAGGACAATGTAGAGAAAGGGTGTTTCTTTCTGTTTCCACAGGGCAAAGGGAAGTTTCAGCACCAAGGACAGAGACAACAAAAGCTCAAATTCAGCTTTATGTAACAAAGATTTCTCCACTAATGCAAAGAAAACAGACAAGCTCAATGTCAAACCACAAAATTTGCACTAATCACTTATCTTTACATTTACCCTGATTTTAAAAAAGAAAACAAAAGTCTACAACATGTTTATGGTATAAATATGCTGCAAAGAAGTAGAGGGAACACAAACAAAAATGTTTGATCTTGTTGAAAAGAAACACAACTGAAGGGTTCAACAAAGCTGATGGCAACATAGCATGACTTTCAGGCTTGAAGAGAAGGAATTTAAACAAAATCCACAGAAAACCACAAAAAAAACTTTTATCTTCTGAATGGTATAAGTGAATACAAAAAAACAATCTCAAACTATCGAGATGACCATATGGCACGGTATTAAGCAGGTGTTCCTACCTCAGGAGAGTCGTCACAGTCTCCAAAAACTTCTGCAAAGTCTGATGGACTTTTCCTAAGAGTCTGGTCAGCTGGCAGTGTGTTGTCATTGTACGATGACACAAACTTAAAGTCACTGGTTCGAGACCCTGTTGTCAGGTAGGCGTCATAATTGTAAGCGCTGCGTAAAGTTCCTGTACCGTCCACATCTGCGTAATTAGGAGGGAGATAAGCGCTGGGGATGGCCACTGCTCCGTCAAACAACAGTCTGGGCTTTCTCCTGCGACAAAACCTCACACCAAGGATGATGATGATGAAGGTCAGAAAAAATGTCGACACACACACCAGCGCGATGATCAGATAAGAGGTCAGTTTGGAGTTCTTCTCATCATAAGAAATGTCCTTCAGTTCTGGCACCTCAGCCAAGTTATCAGAAATCAGTAAATACATGGAACAGGTTGCAGACAGAGAGGGCTGCCCGTTATCTTTCACTGACACTACAAGGTTCTGTTTCATGCTGTCAGATTCAGAAATGTCCCGCTGGGTCCTGATCTCTCCACTGTGGACACCAATAGTGAAAAGTCCCGGATCAGTAGATTTCACTATTTGATACGACAGCCAGGCGTTCTGTCCAGAGTCCGCGTCCACCGCTATCACTTTGGACACCAGAGAGCCTCCGTGTGCAGCTTTGGGGACCAGCTCGGTCATGAACGACTTGCCCTCTGGCCCGGGGTACAGGATCTGAGGAGAGTTGTCATTCACATCTGATATGAACACACTCACGGTCACGTTGCTGCTGAGAGGAGGAGAACCGTTGTCTCTGGCCATCACCTGAACTTTGAAGCTCCGGAACTGTTCATAATCAAACGACCTCACAGCGTGGATCACCCCCGTGTCTCCGTTCACTGACACATAGGAGGACACCGGGGCACCGTTCACCTCACCGCCTAACAGAGAATAAATCACTGTACCGTTCTGTCTCCAGTCGGGGTCTCGAGCACTAACGGAACATAATGTGGAGCCAGCTTTGTTATTCTCACTCACATATGCGCTGTACGACTGCTCCTCAAACACAGGTGGGTTGTCGTTGATGTCTGCTACAGATAACTGAACAGTTTTAGACGACGACAGAGGTGGAGAGCCCTCGTCAGTGGCACTGATTGTAATGTTGTAATCAGACACTAGTTCACGGTCCAGTTGTCCTGTGCTCACCAGAGAATAATAGTTTTTAATAGAAGGAACCAACTTAAAAGGGACATTTTGCTGAATGGAGCAGCGGACTTGTCTGTTACTATCAGAGTCTCTGTCCTGCACGTTAATGATGCCCACCTCTGTACCAGGTGACACGTTCTCAGGTATGGGGTTAGTCAGTGATTTCAGGTAAATCACTGGAGCATTGTCGTTTACATCAGTAACATCTATTATAACTTTAGCGTACGAGGTAAGACCTAGACCATCTTTAGCTTTTACTCTCATTTCAAATAAGTTCCTTTTTTCAAAATCAATAACTCCAGTTACCCTGATTTCTCCGGTTCTATCATCAATAGCAAAAACATTTACGTTGCCGTCAGACACGTGACCGAACTGATACGTCACATCTCCGTTCACTCCTTCATCTGCGTCTGTAGCACTTACTTTTATCACTACAGTATCTACAGGAGAGTTTTCAGGCACACTGGCTTTGTAAACGGCCTGACTGAACACTGGGGCGTTATCATTAGCATCCAGTACAGTGACGTGAATGACTACTGTACCTGATCTCTGAGGAGAGCCTCCATCTAAAGCTGTAAGGAGCAAATTGAGCTCTCTTTGTTTCTCACGATCAAGTTTATTCTCCAGTACAAGCTCAACCTTGTTGTTATCAACAGCGAGAACAAAGTTGTCGTTCTTTTGGAGGCTGTATCTTTGAACTGCATTTTGACCTATATCTGCGTCATGGGCCTCCTCGATTGAGAAGCGAGTCCCCTTTTCAGCTGACTCTCCTATTTCCATTTCGATTAGATTATCTGTAAATTGAGGCGAGTTGTCGTTCACATCTTGAATGTGAAGACTAACACGGTGAAGCTCCAGTGGGTTTTCCAAAACCAGATCAACTTGAACGACACACGAGGGTTTCTTGTCACAAAGGCTTTCTCTGTCCATCCTCTCCGATGAGATCAAATCTCCAGTATTCAGATTGATGTCACAGTACCTTGTCTGAGATCCCTCATTATCCACACGGGCCTGTCGGGATGAAAAGGCTCTGCGGTCCAGACCGAGATCTTTCACTATATTTCCGATAACAGACTCGCGTTTCATCTCCTCGGGAATAGAATAACTCAGGTCTCCATTAGTGAGGTGCAGCATTACAAGGAAGGAGGCAAAGCTCAGGACCAGACGAAGCGCTGAAAATCCTTTGTATCCCATCCCGACACAGAACACCTCCTCGAGCCTCAATACTTTATGTTGATTGATATAATAAATATACCCTGGTACAACACTTACGGTCTCGACTACACAACGGATTCACCAACGCACACAAGCCTTCGTGCACTGATTTAACCGAATCCTCGGGAAAAAAAATCCACCCTCATCGTTGACGGTGTTGGGTGGAGAGGTTTCTGTTTAGTTTCTGTCAGTCAACAG